CGGAGGTGCTATAAATAGCCAGCGCTGGCCAGAGGGCCTGGGGGCGGGGCGGGTGGGGCCAGGAGAAGCTGGAAAGGAACGGTGGAGAAGGAAGCTGTCGGTCCTCAGTCTGGGGAGGGCCCAGCTCACTCCCCTGGAGAGGTCGATGGAAAAATTTTCTATGGGTGCCATAGCAGCAAGGGCCAGTGTAGGCTACCTCTTCACTCTCCCCCTGAGTCGCTTAGAGCCATGGGGAGGGTCAGGAAACTCTTGCCAGAGCTCATCGCCAGCACCCCGTGGACTTTGCCCACCTACCCTACGCCATCATCTCCATTCCTTAGAGCAACAGCTCAGTAGCTTGAGAGGGAAACTGAGGCCCAGAGATGTGAAGTAGTTGTCTAAGATCCCACCGTGAATCAGGCTAAGATGAGACTGTGAGTGGGATTCATTCCCTTCCTATCCAAGGTTATATGTGAGAACCAAGATGTAAGAACATGTCCTTAGTGACAAAGTCTTTCCCTGAGTACCAGTGAACAGACAGGATTGTCCTCCAGAAACCCGGGGCTCTTCCTCTTCCACTGAGGGACTCATATTTACAATGCTTTACTTTTATCCACGCCTTGTGCATGTGTTTATGGCATGTATGTGTGTGCTTATGCATTTTTAAATATGTGTGAACGTGGACGCTCATGGGCATGCCTGTGGAAGCCCGAGCTGACATCAGGAGTCAGCCCCCATCGCTCTTTCACTGAGGCAGGCCTTTCAATAAAACACAGAGCTCAAGATATGTCCAGCCTTGGTAGTCAGATCGCTCTGGGGATCCCATTCCTTCTGAGGCTGGAATTTCAGGTGAGCCAAGACACACACCTGGCGTTGATATGTGTTCTGGGGACACAAACTCTGGTCCTCAAGCTTGCATGGCAATGCCTTTAACCATCAAGCCGGCTCCCCCAGCCTCATGAGTACAGCACTTTGGAGATGTTGAGTAAGAGGTGCCTGGATGCAGTCCTAGAAATGAGACCGGACCTAGGCTCAGAAGACCTGAACACAAACGCATGTTGAGCTTACACAAATCAATTTCCCTTTCCAAGCACTCAGCCCCTTAACTTGCAAAGTGAGCCCAATAATTCACGTGTGGGACTAAATGAGACGAGGCATGCTGGAGTGCCTGATTAATGCCCCAGATGTTACAGACTCAAGCCCTGCATATTCATCTCTACAGTCGTGATATTCACTATGGCACCTGGCACACACGAGCTCTCACTAACTGTTGATTCAGTCGGAGAATGGAGTAAATGCTTTGCATCTAGACGCTGTATGCTTACGTCATAACAAATGCTCTTGACTGTTTATCAGCTGTTGCTGACACTGTGTTGTGGACCGGGCACTTTCTGACATCCTGTGTTTGAGGCTCCTGAGAAATTTTATATTTTTCTCTCCGGACACAAACACTACCAGTCATCGGTTTAATAAGAAGGACAAACATGTACTTTGTTGTCCAACTAGAAGGCCTCAGGTAGCATTTGTAGTAACTCTCACCGGACAGCGGGGAGACATTATGACTAGAAATGCTCGGAACCCATACTAATGGTGCACTATGCAGCTCAGAACTCTCTGGAAATGGAGTCCCACACCCCACCCTCCCTGACTCCTCTTCTCTAGTCTGACCCCCAGACCACTTCCCTAGAACACTTTTTTTTTTTTACATCAGTCTCATGTAGGTAAGGCTGGCTTTAATCTTGCTACATAGCCAAAGATGGTGTGGTCCTCCTGTCTATACCTCCTCAGTGCTGGATTGATGCCTGGTTTGTTTGGTGCTGGGGATCGAACTCAGGGCTTTAGCGTGCTAAGCAAGCACTCTACCAAGTTATGTACCCAGCCTCCTACCTGTAACCAATATGTTTAGGGTCCTCATTTTAATCAGCAGGTGGTCTTGGCCACTTTTTCATTTCCTTGAGAATTCTAGAGCATTTGTATCACCCCAAATATAGAAATTTGGGGGGCCTGCTAAGCACTCAACACATGACCTCTACACTGCCCAGCTGTCCTCCAATGCCATTCTAGCTCAATTCTTTCTCTGTCTGGTTTGTTTGAACTTCTAATGGGTCCCTCAGTATGGTATAGTATAGTATAATATAGTACTGTATGGTATAGTACAGCATATATGATATATTATAGCTTGTAGAAGGGTCTCTTATAGCCCAGACTGGCCTCATATTCAGTACATAGTCAATGCTGGCCTTGAACTCCTGGTTTTCTGCCTCCTTCTCCCAAACGCTAGGTTCACGGGTGTGCACCACTACACTGATCCTGCTAAAACAGAAGTGGGATATGTGTCTTACCAGCTCAGTGATAACAGCTCCTCCGTATCCTGTAGTGGGAATTTTCTCTGGTCTGGCCCAGCCCTGAGGTCCGGACAAATCTTTCCCACCTGCGGTCCCATAGCTTCTTATAAAATAATTACTCAGAGGCTTATATTAATTATGAACTGGATGGCCTATGGCTCAGGCTTCTTGCTAGCCATCTCTTATAACTCAACCCAGTTCTATTCATCTATAAGTTGCCACGTTGCTGTGGCGTTACCAGTCTGCTGACATCTTGCTGCTTCTTGGGGGGCTGCTGACGTCTCTCTCACTCCACCATTCTTTTCTCTGTATTTCTACTTGGATTTCCTGCCTGGCCATACATGGATTTTTTTGCCATAGGCCAAAACAGCTTTATTTACTAACCAATGGGAACAGTGTATATTCACAGCATACAGAAAGGCGTCCCACAGCAATATTCTGTCCTCCCTCCGGCTTCCTTCCTAAGACTCTCCAACCACTCAGGTGTTGTTGCTACTTCCTCAAACATAGTAGGAAATCTCAGAACCTCTGTAGCCACCCCGAAAAATCCCCCTGCACACACCTCTCACTCCCTCCTCACCTATGCCCTCTCCCTCTGCTGGGAACACTTTCCCTTTAGATAGGCATATGAATGCCTCCTTTGTCTCCTTCCCAGCGCTCCCTGTTTCTTTCCAAAGTCCTTCCCTGTTAAAATCTAATCTAAGCTGGAGAGGTAGCTAAGTGGTTAAGAGCACATATTACTCTTGCAGAAGACCTGAGTTCAGTTTCCAGTACCCACATGGGTAGGTCATAACTTCCTGTAACTTCACCTCCAATGTATCTGATGCCCCCTTCTGGCCTCTGTAGGCACCTGCCCTCACATGCATATATACACACACAGAGACATACACACAAGCACACAATTAAAAATAAAAAATAAGGGCCAAGCCCAGCATGGTGGTGCATGCCTTTAATCCCAGCACTTAGTAGACAGAGGCATGAGGATCTCTGTGAGTTCAGGGCCAGACTAGTCTATGGGAAATTCCAAGACAGCCACAACTATTACACAGAGAAACCCTGTCTTAAAAAAACCAAATGAATAAATAAATAAATAAGAAGAAAGGCCAGACACAGTGGTGCATGCTTTTAACCCCAGCATTTGGGAGACAGAGCCAGGTGAATCTCTGAGTTTGAGGCCAGCCTGATCTACAAGCAGAGTCCTGGGATAGCCTGGACTACATAGCAAGACCCTGTCTCAAAAAATAAACAAATAGACAAACAAATAAAAAGTAAACATTTTTTTAAAATGTAATCTCACCCTTGGTCATTGTTGGAACCATCCTTGCCTGTTTTCCCCAGCACTTAGCAAAACCTATCACTTATTTGACTTAGCTTCCTAGTCTGGCCGCTGACACCGGCAAGCCCCCTGAGAACAGGACTCTCCTTTGCTTCGTTCTTTGGACTGCTCTGCACCTCTGTGCCTAGAACAGTTCCTGACAGAGAGCATCTGCTCAGCACACGTTCGTCAGATGAGCACAGGCCTGATGCAGGGGATGAAGGCTGAACATTTGCCCTTTGCACTAAATGGGATTTTAATCCTACCACATCCACTTTGGGTCTATATAACCTCAAGCAAGCACCCTAACCCTTTTGTGAGTCTCTGTGTCCCATGTTTAGTGCGGAAAGAGCACATGTTGCCTCCCAGGGCTATGGAGAGTCTTAAATACACTTTTACAGGTAAGCCACTAAACTTGCTAGCAGGCCCATTTAGAAACTTTGGAATTCGGTAAACTGAGCACCCTAAGGCTGTAGGATTAGTGGTTGGCAGCCAGAGAGATGATTGAACTTGGTCCTCAATCATGAAAACCAGAGTTTGGATCCCAGCACCCACAGAAAAAGCTGGGTGGCCTTGAAACACCTGTAAACCCAGCTCGGAGCAGGGCAGAAACCTGAGGATGACGGGGCTTACTGATTTCTAGTCTAATTCAGACAATGTGAGGCATAGGTTTAGGGAGGTATCCTGCCTCAAAGAAACAGGTGGAGAGCAATAGAGGAAGATTCCTGGTGTCCTCTTCTGGCCATCATACACACAGGAAAGCGTATGCTCTCACAGACACCCCTCCCCCCACACACACATACACACACACACACACACACACACACACACACACACACACACACACACAGAGATCTTTAAAAGAAAAAAGACCAACAGTCAATTGCTGTGGCAACCAGGACTCACAACAAGCATATGCAGCATGAAGTAGCAACAGATGTTCTCACTTCAAACCATTGGTTTCTATCTCGTGCCCTCCAAGACCTCCCAACAGGAATGGCCGGGGTCTCTACAATTTCCTCCACCACCACAGGCTCTCATCCTGTTTAAAACACTGTGAGGGCTTCTCCCCAAAAGCTCATTTGAGTCTGGGTAGGAGCCACTTGAGAACACAGGGTGAGAGGGGAGAGAGAGGTGGGGAAGAGTTGGCCCAGCCCTCCGCACCTGCCAGCTTCCTGTCTGCCTGCTGATAAATAGGGGAAGAAGCATGGCCAGAGTTTCCATTCCCCATCCTTGTCACTGCCAGTCATCCAGTTAAAAAAAAAAGATGAGGGAGACAGCTCCAGGGAGGGGTGGGGGCCCTGCTTATAAAGCCTGCAGCTGAGGGCGAGAGCACCAAGCCTGGTCTTCTTCTTGTCATCCCCAGCCAAGCTGAGCTGCTGACAGCTGCTTGGGACTCTGCCGCCAGGCCCCAGCTGGCTTCACAACTCCTCCACTTCTCAGCCACTGTTCCTCCATGGCTCAGAAAGAAGAGGTCGCTGAGGCTGCAGCGCCAGCCTCCCAGAATGGAGAAGAGCTGGAGAACCTAGAAGACCCTGAGAAGCTGAAGGAGCTCATCGACCTGCCGCCCTTTGAGATCGTCACTGGGTGAGCCTTGTGTGGGGGCTGGGGTCTCCTGCCTGGGAGAGTGTGGGGTCTGAGCAGGCTGCGGAAGGTTAGGAGGGGAATAGTAGGGCCAAGGTCAGGCTCAAGCTCTGTGCCCAACATCCTAGCAGGGGCTTCAGGGCGGCAAATGCCTCTTGACTTTTTATTTTATTTTATTTTTTTTTTTAGGCAGGGTCTTACCATGTAACTTTGGCTGACCTGGATCTCACTCTGTAGACCAGGCTGGCCTTGAACTCACACAGATCCTCCTGCCCCTTCCTTTTCGGTGTTGGGATTAAAGGCATGTACCACCAGGTCCAGCTACTCTTGGCTTCTTGAGGTGACACGTTAGACTCTGTAATCAGTAGGAGATGGGAATGGGGAGTGCCTCTGAGGAAGCGACCCACAGAATCATGGCAGTTTCTGACGTGTGCAAAGGCAGAATCATGCCTTACTGAGGGAAGCTTCAGGAGGGATGGTGGCATGGATGCTATGGAGAGGGAGAGAGGAAGAGCCCTGGTGGCCATCTGGACTTGCCGCAGGTTCTGGGTATCACCAGCCCCTGTGCATATGATCCACTCCCAAGGAATGTGTGAGAATGGCATACTAAAGACGGTCCTGGTGGACCATCATCTCCTGGAGTGCAGACTTTAGGAGCGTCTACACAGAGGAGCTGTCCCACAAGCCCCACACAGCCTGGAACAACTGTGCCCAGATCAAACAGTCTACAGGTCCCCAAGGGAAAGCCATGTTCAGGGTCCCCTCTTGTCCAGATTGTCTCATCTCCAGAAATGAACAATAGCAGCCTTCCTCCTCACCTCTCTCTATTCCTAGAGAGAAAGACACTGCTAAGGTCAAGGCAGAGAGTAAGAAGGGGCGGGCGGCAGGCTTCCCCCTGCACGGGGCTTCTCATGGCAGTCTCGGCAATGTGCAAAGGCTGGGTGGAGGCACACTAAGTCTCAGGAGGGACAAAGTCATGGATGTTCTCATGGGGAGAAGCAGACCTGGAGAGCAGTTTGTACTTGCTGTCTTATGCTTGATGTGCAATGCCCTAGGCGTGGCCTCCATTTTCCTATTTCTAACATGAGGAAGCTCACCTGACTTGATTCTTAATGTCCCTTCCTGCTCAGATATTTTCTGACTTCTAAGAGAGCCCAGGGGAAATGTAGCTTGGTTCCTGAGACGTGAGTGGCCACTGAACTTCCATTCACTCTTGCTCACCCAGCTAATCCTGCTCTCATCCTAGGATTAAGGGAACAGCTGGGCATGGACTAATATAGACACAGGGAAAGCCTAGGGCAAACAGGCCAGCAGAGTCCTCAATTCCAGTGGCTTGCCTATGGCAGAGGATCCTTTTACTGACACCTGAGCATGCTGGACCATGCTGTCCTGGGTTACACACATGCCTTCCACTCTCTGCAGCTCTTGATCTCCCAGGTACAGGGGCAAGGTGAGCCAACAACAAAATTAGACTGTTGACTTGAACATGCACTGGGGTCCCAGGGCGGTGGAGCCTGAAGGTCTCGGAAGTAACTGACATTTGTCTAAGGCTTCACAACACAGTCAAGAGAATGCTTGTTCATAATGCAGAGAGAGAGGAGAAACAGACTCAGAGAGACTGAACAATATACCTACAACCAAAGAACCAGGCAGTGACAGGCTTCTGGACTCCCAGCCAAGTGTCTTGTCCACGGGTCTCCCATGGCAATGAGAGTTACAGGTTTTCCATGACCCAAGGCTCAGAGAAAGGGGCACAGAGGGGCACGGTTCTGGGTCTCTGAGAGCACTTCTGGATGGAGGTGGAGCTCTGAGTGTTTCCTGGACACAGGCAACAGCTGTGGTGATCTGTCCTCTAGGCCTCTCGGGATAAACAGATACTTAAAATAGCCCAGAGGTGTGGCCTTGTCTTCTCCGGACCCGGAAAGATGGCTGGCCTCTCCTTCTCTTTCCAGAGGGCCAGCAAAGCCACTCCTTCCCTAGTCTTGACTCCACAGGGGATGGCTCTAAAATGCTCCTTAGATTTGGGCTGAAACTAGAAGAGCAGAGAACGCGTATCAGAACAGTCTGAAGCAAGGAAGGTTTGTAGAGGCACGAGGAGAGAGATTTGTCTGTGGTGATTCTGTTTACATGGGGTTGGTGCTTCAGATAGATAGATGGAAAGCAGACCTGAGCACAAGGACAAGAAAGATGGCAGAAGATTCTGGAAAAGGGTCTAAAGCCATAGGGTGTGCTGAAGCCAGATCCTCCCTTCTGGAGAGAAGATTCTGCCCATCTCTTCCCCGTCCTGTATCCAGTGATTTCCACTCATTCTTTCAGATCTCCATAGTGCAGGGTTTACATGAGAGAAATTAGCAAATGCTGGGCTTGCAAAATGGCTCAACAGGTAGAGGAGCTTGCCCTGCTAGCCTGGCAACCTGAGTTTGAGTCCCAGAACCCACGTAAAGGTGGAAGGAAAGAACCAACTCCACAAAATTGTCCTCTGGACTCCAAACAGGTGGCATGACATGCAGAGACTGGTGTCCACACACACACACACACACACACACACACACACACACACACACACACACACACACTGATGATTATGTAAAAAGAAAAATCACTACACATTACAACTTGGGGATTTTTTTCCCTCTTTCTCTCAGAAAGCTGGTTATATTTGTCTCAGTTCCAGAAGTTTCTCTTTCTGTGGTTTGCCTAAGCTTAGGGTGGCTCTTTGAAAGGTATAACTCGAGGCTTAGAGAAGGCATCATCCATCAATACTAGCTATACCTTATTATGTATCTACTATTGATCAAAATCTAGGAGGTTGGATTACTCAGTCATTTGCATATAAAAAATAAACCTCAGAGGGACTTTGCTCAAGGTTAGTCAGAGTCATAGGGCATGAACCTCAGGACCTTATGACTCCAGAGCATAGAACTACCTCAAGCAAAGCATATTGAGGACTTTCATATTCGCAAATATTTGCCACCTGTGAATTGTGCACTTAGCGCTTGTTTCCATTAGAGTAGCTGTCCTGCAGGGAAGCAAGGACTCTCTCTCTCTCTCTCACTGCTTTATCTCTAGCTCTCAATTGGTACTCAATAAATATTTGTAGGATAAATGAATGGACTAATGAATGGGCACTTCCGTGTGTTAGGCTGTCTGCCAGCCGCTGTAACAGGAAGTGAGCTGGAGGGAGGGCTTCTAATGAAGAGAATATAAAGAGACTTGCAGTTCTCAGCATGTAGAATTTTCCATGTATGCCCTTGCAGAAAGCACAGGGGTGCTCTAGGACAACACGATCCCCATCTTTCCATCTCTGCATTGGTGATCCTGGATCTACCTAGCACCACCCTTCTATGTGTGGAATTGTATATGCTTCTGTAGAAAGCACAGCCTGCTGTCACAGGGTATGGTGGGCTGAAGATAAATGGCACAATGAGTTTTCTCTTAACCATGGTCTTCTCAGTCTTCTAGGTTTACTTGCTGTATGTGTACGTATGAATGTTTTGCTCACATGTATGTCTGTGGAGTGAGCCTTCAACACCATTCGTGTGTGTGTGTGTGTGTGTATGTGTGTGTGTGTGTGTGTGTGCAAGCACATGTTTGTATGCACACATTTGTGGGAGTGTAGGAGTATGGGAGCATGCATACCATGGTGTATATGTGGAGGTCAGAGGAGAAGTCCCTTGAGGGATGATCCCCACCTTCACTTTGTTTGAGGCAAGGTCTCTCGTTTTGCATTGTCTGCCTAGCTAGCTGGCCCATGGGCTGCCAGGGAGTCTTCTGTCCCTGGCTTCTGCCAGGGCTACAGACAGGGGCACCACCACATTTGGCTCTTTACTTGGGTTCTGGAGATTCAAAGTCAGGTCTTGACTCGGCTGGTTTCAAATGCACAGAGATCTGCCCATCTGTCTCACCAGTGCTGGGGTTAAAGGTATGCGCTGCCATGCCCAGCCCCCTCAACACTATTCTTTATGCCACAAATCCCCACCCTGGCCTCTGGAGCATGCTGAAGAGTGGGCTACTAGAAACAGAAAATGGCCCATCAGCTGCCACCCTGGCCTTCAGGGAGGTCAAAGCTGTGTGGATTGAGTGTCCCATGGAGAAGGCACTGGTTTCCTGCTTGCCTTAGGTGGAACTTCATCAGTCCTGCAAATCTAGCCTTTTCTCCTTAGTTCTAGAACCTTCTGTCTTGCTCTATACTCCTCTTCCTGACTGGGCCCACTATTTATAAGACAGGAGTACCTTGGTGGGTCTCCAGGCCAAGGTATGCCACAAAGATCACACCACACAACAGATCTCATGCAAGAGATTTATTGGGGTTGGGGGATCGAAAGGCCGTCTCAGAGTGGGTACATGAGAGACAGAGAGAGAGAGAGCAAGAGCGAGAGAGCACGAGAGGAGTCTGTGATGAAGATGGCCTAACTGCTGGCGCTGAGTCGCTCCAAGCAGGCTGGGGGAGCACCTGATCTCTAACCCTCACTCCTGGCATTGGCACTGAGAGTCTGAGAAAAGCAGCAGCTCCCCCTCTGACAAGGGCTCACAGACAGGTCCAGTGAGGGGAACTGAAGTAAGTCAACATCCCGTCTGTCCTGAGTGCACGCCCCACTGCGTGGGCCACTGTGTAGCAGATATTCCGTCTCTGACCAGCTTCTAGGGGCTCCACTGCTGCCCCCCTTCATTGTGTATCTGTGCTTGGGAAACACAAATGTTTAAAGCATGCACCTTAGAAACAACACGTACTACACACACCCACATTGGCTCTCCCTCCTTTGGCAGAGGAACTCTCTTTTGTGAATAGGTATGAGGGGCCAGTGTTTCTCTGTTTGTTCCTGGCGATGCCCAGTGTGAGTGGTGCCTAAGGAGGGCACTGGAGTCACACTCCTGGGTCTTCACCAGGACGAGTGACTAAGTGCAGGGAAACAAGACCTGCCACCGTCATCACTCTCCAGCCTGCCCTCCCAACACGCATGCACACATGTACACATCACACACGTACACATAGAGAGACAGAATGTCCGCTCCTCCTTTAACCGTGAAATCTACTAAGGTTGAGAGTAATACTCAGCCATACTGTGTGACTAGGAAAAAGGTTTACAACTGAGAAATTAGATGTCCCTGCTTCCTTTCTTCCCCTGTGGCTTATCCTGTGTTTCCACAGTTGCCTGGGATAGCCATGTTATCCAGCTCTCTGCAATAATTCCAGGCCTCTGCCAGCTCTTTCCTGGTTGAGGTAGTCCATAGGAGACCCAAAGAACCTTATTTGACCTTTCTGCTCCTTCTGACCAAGAGGCCCACGGAGGAGCCAGAGGAACCAGGCAAGCCCAGGCTCTAGCCAAGCCAAGGGGAGTGTAGGCGGCAGGTCTTCCCTTAAGCAGCTAGCCCAGAGGCCCTGCCAGGGAGAGGGGCGGGGTGGGCTCTGGGACTGCTGGCAGGGCTGGGTCAGAAAGGATATTTATAGAGAGGCGACCTTTCTTCCTCTCCCATGGGTTTAGGGTTTCTGGGTTCTCTCTTCATGTTTGGAGAAGGAGAGGAGGGGGTAAATGTCAGAGTTCCTGTGGGAGGGGCTTCTAGAAGCAGTCAGTTCTCATCCACTCAGCCAGCTTGCTACTGTTGACTGGGCCCAGTTCTTGCTTTTAGTGAGACCACACCGAACAAAGTAGGAGCAACGCTTTAGGCATGGGGTGTGTGGGGGGAATGAGGGGAGTTCAACGGAAAACAAAACAAAACAAAACCCTGAAGGACCACATGGGGCAGCTACTGCTTAAAGCCCCAAGCCTACAGCGTAGCCATAAATACTTCCAACACCACCCTCCCCCAGAATCCAGCATAGAAGGCAACTCTGGGCTCTGGCTTGGACTCCTGTTAGGGAGGGTGAGGAGTCTAACAAGTCTTTAAATACCTAAAACATGAGTTCTGTCTTCTCAGGAACAGGAATCTCTTTCAGGAAGAAAGGGGACCCCTGAGGAACAGGTAGAGCCAGCCGGAGGGTGGTTTGGGGGGTGAATGAAACTATGCAATGGGGAGTGTTCCATCAGGGTTTGAAAGAGGAAAGGAAAAACAGCAGGTGATTGCTCCTGCTGAAATGTTAAGTAAATAATAAACACTTCCAGCTAGGGATGGAGGTGCTTAGAGAGCCAAATATAGCCCTGAAGGAATCCTGGGGCTGGGTCCTCCGACAGATCCATCTCCATATTGGAAACTTGATTTGCCAGCAGGAGACATGGGAACATGGGTGGAGACGTTCTGTGACGAGGCCAGGAGGAGGTAAGTCACTGGGGCTTCCTGGCTCTTCCAATCGGCTGCTTAAGCAGCCAAGGTCTGGGACACTAGGGACTCCTCTGTAGCCCTGGAGTCTGCTGACCTTTCTGGGGAAAGGTAAGGAGGAGAGACGGGCCCCCGGTGAGTTAGTGGGGCATGTCCTGCAGCAGGTGCAGAGATTACACATTTATTCTGTGGCGCTGGGGGTCTCTCATGCTAGGCAAGAGAGATCCCCACCCCAGCCCCTGTGACCGTTATAACAAGGAAAGCGGGCTCTCTGGCTAGCACTTTCCACTCCTGACTTTGAAAACTCATTTTCATTGGCCTCCAAACCTATACGGGTCTACATTTTAGGAAAACACTCACAAACAAGAAAACTAAAAACAATCTTTGAGACCCACAAGGTGGCTCAGCAGGTCAAGATGCTTGCTGTCAATCCTGATGACCTAACCTCGATCCTCTGAACCCGCGGGGTGGAAGGAAAGAAACTTCGCTCACAAGTTGTCCTCTGACCTCCACACACACGATGTGGCACAAGTGCCTCCTCCCCACAAATAAATAAATATAAATAAAGGTTTATACATATGTCATTTTTAAAGAACACCACTGTCAACTCTGATGCCTTCTCTCCTTATCAATGCCACGCTGTTCTTTAAAATGCCCAGCTACTCCTATTCCATTTTCTGCCTGATATAACTCTCCCTTTAAATCTTCCACGCACCAAGTCCACTGCCAAAGACATCTAGAGGGCTCTTTGAACTGCAGGCCGTGCCCAGCTGTACTGCACCAGCCTGGCATCACCAGGTCTTCCCTGGATGCCACGCTTGTCCTCCAGAACTCGAAAACATTTGTACTGCCTCCTAAATCAAGGTTTAACTTTCACGACCCTCCATTTGTCATCCCAAGACTCTCCTCATTGCTGTAACCAAATGCCTGACAAGAGGCAACCGGAGAGGAGTCTCTTGGGGTTCACAGAGTGAGGAGATGTCCTTCCAAGCAGAAGAGGCATGAGTGAGGCAGCTGGTCACATGGCATCCAGTTAGGGAGCCGGAAGCACTGACGCTGGCCTGCTCACTTTCTCTCCAATCTGAGGCCTGAGCCCACGGTTTGGGACCTAAAATTCGGGTTAGCTCTTCCCTTCCAGGGTAAATCTCCTGGGAAACACCCTCACAGACATTCCCAGAGATGTGTCTCCCGGGTGGTTCTAAATCCAGTCGAACTGACAAACTAACCATCACACTCCGTGTCCTCTCCCGTCCACGTTTCCAGTGTTCTAGCATTCTCGACTGTTTATTAAATCTCTCCCGTCTGCATCCTAGCTGTTATTAGATGGCAGCCATGTGGAGGCCAAGGGCCAAATGATCCAATACTACACCCAAGCTTACCTACCCTGTGGTACACGTGGGTAGACTTGTCTCACAGATAATTCTTAGCCCCTGATCATTTGACACCCCTTTCAATAAAAAAACAGCCAATAGAACACCGTGTTATGAGATATAGGCCACTCCGTGACCAAAATGCAATCTATGCGAGCTACAAAGTAGAAATGAAGGTATGGAACACTCCATAAAATCTTTGTCTTGCTTCCTCATGAGACATTCCACAACCTACTACCTCGTTAAATTACTATTCTCATGCCAGGCAGTGGTGTCTTATCCCTTTAATCCCAGCACTTGGGAGGCAGAGGCAGGTAGATCTCTGTGAGTTCGAGGTCAGCCTGGTCTATATTAGTTCCAGGACAGCCAGGGCTACATAAAAAGACCTTTGTTGTTTCTAAGGGGTGAGTATTTTTATATTGATGTGTATGTCACTGAATGTGTGCTGGTGACTTTGGAAGCCAGAAGAGGGTGTCAGAGCTCTTGGAACTAGAGTTACAGGTGGTTATGAGTTGCTGAATATTGATACTGGGAACCAAACCAAACTCAAGTCTCCTCGAAGAGTAGTAAGCAGTCCTGACCTCTGTGCGCCCCCTCCGTGTACATATATATATACACACACGTGTGTGTGTGTGTGTGTGTGTGTGTGTGTGTGTGTGTGTGTGTGTGTGTGAATATTAGCATAGGCAAGGCCCATTTTCAGTAGGAATGAATGGGTCTTGGAGAGCTGCCCGATCTAGGTCCAAGAAACAAGGACTCATCATTCCCTTCTTCCCTGCCTTGTCTCCTTGACTTACAGGGAGCGGCTGCCTGTCAACTTCTTTAAATTTCAGTTCCGGAACGTGGAATACAGTTCCGGGCGGAATAAGACCTTCCTCTGCTATGTGGTGGAAGCACAGAGCAAGGGAGGCCAAGTGCAGGCGTCCCGGGGCTACCTGGAGGATGAGCATGCAGGTGCCCATGCTGAGGAGGCTTTCTTTAACACCATCCTGCCGGCCTGCGACCCGGCCCTGAAGTACAGTGTCACCTGGTATGTGTCCTCCAGCCCCTGTGCAGCCTGCGCTGACCGAATTCTCAAAACGCTCAGCAAGACCAAGAACCTGCGCCTGCTCATCCTGGTGGGCCGGCTCTTCATGTGGGAGGAGCCAGAGGTCCAGGCCGCTCTGAAGAAGCTGAAGGAGGCCGGCTGCAAACTGCGCATCATGAAACCCCAGGACTTCGAGTACATCTGGCAGAATTTTGTGGAGCAAGAAGAGGGTGAATCCAAGGCCTTTGAGCCCTGGGAGGACATTCAGGAGAACTTCCTATATTATGAGGAGAAGCTGGCAGATATCCTGAAGTAGGCAGCAGAGCGCAGCCTTCTGTGAGTTTTCCCGGTGCCCTGGTGCCATCTGTGTTTACTTGGGTAGAAGACTTGAGGTCACGTAGGAAGAAACACAATTTGAAGGGGGTGCACTCCTCTGTATTAATTGGTTGTAGAAACATTCTAGAACATTGTTTCATTCCCTTTCCCCTGGATCCACCTAAATCCACGCCTTGGGGTTGGAGAGATGGCTCAGCCCTTAAGAGCACTGGGCGCTTGTAAAGTTGGTTCCCAGCACCCACTTGGATGGCTCAAAACTGCCTGTGACTCCAGCTCCAGGGGACCTAACACCTTCTTCTGCACTCCGGACACTAGAATGCACTTGCTCATACTCACACAGACATACACAAATATATATTAAAAAATAAGGGCTGGAGAAATGGCTCAGTGGTTGGTTACGAGCACTGGTTATTCTCACAGACGGCCCAGGTTTGACTCTGAACATCCACGTGGTGGTTTACAACCACCCATAACTCCACTTCCTGGGACTCCAAGTTCTCACTGTAGATACTTTCTAGATCCCTATTCCTAAATTCACAACCTCTGTTTTTCTGTAATGCAGAATTTTCATTCTTGGGGCAATTTCTTGCTTTTTTCTTTTGTCATCTTTTTTTCCTTTCTTTCTTTCTTTTTTTTTTTTGAAGTTTTATTCTTTTAAAACATTTTTATGGATATAGGTATTTTGCTTGTGTGTGTGTGTTCGTGTACCATGTGCATACTTGGTACCCAAGGAGGCCAGAAGAGGGCATTAGATCCCATGGGACTGGAGTTACTGGCACTTGTGAGGCACCCTGTGGTGTTGGGAATCAAAGCCAGGTCCTCTGGAAGAGCACCCAGAGCTCTTAAGCTCTGAGCCATCTCTCCAGGCTTGCATTCATCTTCTGATTTTACCCAGATCTGCTCTCCCACTTTCAGAGGGCTGTTCTTTGAGTTGCTCAGTGGTTGCTGGGTGGATGCCTAAGGCCAGGGCATTCTTACTGAGAATCACCCAGGGAACTAACTCATGGAGAGTCAAATGCTATCAGGAGAGAGTAGCGAGCTAGTTTATACCAGAATGTCTAAAGGGTTAAGAGATGCTTGTAACTCAACTAGCAGCTCAGAAGTAGCCTCCTCCAGATGTCAAGAGGTGATAGGAAACTGGAAATAAAGATGAGCTGTTTAGGCAAATAATTAGGACACAATTAAGGCCAATTTGGCCTCTTGCTGAGGGTAAATTAGACTCTCACAGAAACAGGCCAATTATCCTCAGGAAAGAGGGTAAAAGATCCTTCACTATCCTTTGAATTTGGTCTGATCTACTTTGCTTCCATGGAACTGCTGTGACTGAACCCCTTTCCAAGGCCGGAGTTGGTGGTCAAAATCTAGTGTTGGTGAAGGCTCTTCACTGCACTCCTACCCGAGTTTAATTCTGGAACGACTGCTGTATTCATAAAACATGGACGCAGCATGTGTCCATGAAGATCATTCAATTTACGTTTGATATTTCTCTCTCCTAATACCCTTAAGAGAAGACGCTGCTTCACAGGCACGTTCTGGAAATCTCAATGTTCCGGAGCTGCGTGTTGGCAGGTGTTTGCTATTAGGCAAACATGTGGGGTGCCCAGACATCCTCAGGCTGCATCTTCCTGTCCTAGCCAACACATTTTCAGTCTATTCTTTTTAGCAAAAGGACAGAGACTTTGTGGGCAGTCATGAGGTAGATTCCCACCATAAAATAACACAGGACACTGGGTCAGGACAGCAGTAAAGACAGATATCAAGGGTGACGCCTGGAAATACAGAACTTGCCTACAATTTCTTAAAGATTTTTATTAGTATAGGTAGCCCTGCTGTAACTGTCTAGCCAGCATAATGGTGACCACTGGCGTAACTTTAACCCTGAGCAGTCTTCATGGGAGAGAGGAATATTGTGGCATGTGCCTACAATCCCAGCACTCCAAAGGCAGAGGCAAGCGGATCATGAGTTAGAGGCTGTCTTGGGCTATAACAATTCTCAGGCTAGCCTAAGCTACCTAAAGAGACCTTGTCTCAAAACAAGAGTCAAAAACCCCAAGGAAAAACCCCAAGAGTTTGGGGTGGCGATTGTAGTTCAGTGGTAGAGAATGCTTACAAAGTCCAAAGATTTGTGCTGTTTGGTTGTGAAATGCTTGCCTAGCATGCATACATACTGGATTTAATTCTCAGTGCCACTGACAATAACAACAACAATAACAAAAATAATCTAAGTATTATTATTCTATGCGTGTGTTCCCAGAACCAAGAGGTGGACTGAGGAGAATGCAGAGTTCATAGGCCAGGCTGGGCTACTACTTACTCGATCCCCAAAACAGCAACAACAAAAACATCCCCCCCCCCCAAATGCCACTTTATAAAATTACATTTAATTTTTACTTATTTGTGGGGGGGAAGGGGCACGTGTCGTGGCACACATGTGGCAGTCAGAGGACAGCCTGCCAGAGTTGGGGCTTTGCTTCCACCATGTGGGTTCGGGGCTGGGAATTCAGTGGCAGGCCTGGTGGCGGGAGCCTAACCTGAGCTATCTTGGCAGCCCTGGGAAGACTCACAGGCCACTTCTGCCAGCTCCCAAACTACTAGAAAGTCTTCAGGGATTTTTTTTTCATTAAATTATGAATTTCACAGATGATTAAAAAGTTTTAATCTGGGATCATGGAGCGTTTTAACTGGTACTCAATAAATAATCGAGCATGAGGGGAAGTGCATGTCTAAGTCAGCTTATTTTAAAATTCTCTGGGCCAGCGAGATGGCTCACCGAGTGAAGGTGATTGCCACCGATCCTGAAGACCTGAGTTCAATCCATGGGACCCACATAGTAGAGAGAACTGACTCCCAAAAGCTATTCTTCAACCTCCAAACATGCATGCACCCATACACACAAATAAATGTAATTTAAAAAGACGATTACTCCTTGTGTAGACAGATACACCAGTATTCTTGACTGCATCAGCAGACTTCCCTGTGCATATCTGTGAGTCTTCCCAGCTCCTGAGGGGAAGGTCAAAGGCAACAAAAAAGCTATGGCAGAGTCTAAATGCCCTAAAGAGCAGCCCTTCTTAAAGTTCACTAAGAAGCATCCAGTAAATAAATATGTCTCATTTCATCTTCTGCTTTAAGACTAGCAGACCAGCACGCAGGAGGCAGAGGTAAACAGCTTTCCGAGTTTGAGACTAGCCTGGTCTGCATAGTACATTCTAGGCCAGACAAAGCTACACAGTGGAACCCCATCTCAAGCCAAGCCAAGTCCAATCTTTGGACCATATATTTAACTTAAGAGAACAGACTCCGAGCAGATCTCCCCTGGGACTGTTGTAACCATACCAAAGCAAAGAAGGAAACATCCCAACCCTAGCTCAGGCAGGAACCACAGTGATGAGTGTTTTGAAAAATCATTCCTGGTAGTGGGTAACCCCACCAATGCAATATACCAATTCAAGCTGAATTAAAAGTCCAGATTGAATGAGCAAAGCATCCCCAGGAGACCTCAGGGGAAGAGAAACCATATGGAAGGTCTATGGATGGACCTTAAATACCCTGTAGGTGTGGTCTTGAGGGGCCCTGGGTCCCCCCACCCCCACCCCTGGAGCTGGAGATTCCCACCACACAGGAGGCCCTGGAGTTAACAGCCGGGGTCTCTTTTGGAAAGGTAAAAGAAGCCTCGGTTATCTTAGAGGGCTGGCTGTCGGGTCAGCAAGGCTCTCGGTAACACGCTTTGTTTTCCATGAAGGTCTGCCCGCTGCCACCCGGAGAAGCAGTGACATGGATGGCACTCGGGACAGGCTGGTCTTCCCAATTATACCTGGAGTTGGACGTTTGACACCAACCAATACCTGGAGTTGGACATTTGACACCAACCAATTGTACTGGACAAGGCCCTCCCTCCGAGAACTCGGCGCACCCAGGCCGTCACACCGTCATGCCTTTTGTAATGTGGCTATTGGGAGAAATTGAAGGGAAGAAAGGCAGCTGTATGTGGGCACCTGGGGTGGAGGCTCTTCCTGCCTACCCGGGGTGCTGCCTGAGACAAAGATCCTCAGATTCAAGGCACAGACCTTTGAAACATCAAGGAAAGTGTTTTGAGTTGGGCTGGGTTGTTGGTGTTTGTTTTTTTAAAGGCAAAATAGCATCATTAATAAAGGAAATAGTGTGGTTTTTGTGGCCTGTTCTTTTAAGAAAGTTGGGCAGTGGAACGTTCCCATGGACAGTGCGTGGATACTGGGCACAGGGATATTGTAGGCTAAGAACCAAGCTGTGACATTGGGGTGGTAAAGTCAGGTCTTGACAATGAGGAAACTAGCTCTCCAAGGCTGACTTCTCACCATGACCCCAACATTCACTTATTTTCTCCTGAGGGCTGGGGAAATGGCAACAAAGGTTCAAATCCTGAGAACCCATGTAAAGCAGTGTGCAGTAGCACATGACAAGAGATGGAGAATCCCTGGAGGTGTGCTAGCCAGCCTGGTATACCCAGTGGCAACCAGGAGACTGGGATTCAAACCAGGTGGAAGGTGAAGACCGCCATGATTGGTCCTCTCACCTCCATCTGCGTGCGATGACACACACATGGACTTCTTCCAGGAGGAACTCTAGTTTGCCAGCAGGGTACGTCCCCAGCGTGTGCAAGGCCCTCACTCCATCCCCAGCACTAAGGAAAATTAAACACTTTCTCCTGGGATTCTTTGTAAACGGTAGCTTTTCCTTTCCTCTGAAGATAATATGGTGGGGGTCACAAGGCTCGTGGAATTTTATGGGATATCCACACCTCAACGGCCAAGCAATAAGCAATTTCCTTCTCACTAGAGAGGGTCCAAAGAACCAAGTCAATGTTCACTCACACTGTGAGATTCCAAAAAGCAGCACGTGAAAGACCATGACCAGAAGGTGGCAAGTATCATTTCCCAAAAGGTTTGTGGAGTGCTCTGCAGAGGTGAAGTCACGCTTACACGCCTGGGTGTCAGTCAGATCCATCTAGGTTTCCAAGAAGGTTGTACTCAGTCTGTTGTCAGGCTGTTTCCTTCCCTCAGGTTTCATGGGTGATGAATCACCGGAATTTGACCCCAAGGCACTTGATAACATCCCCACCAAGGCCCAGGATGTCACTGATAATCAGGCTCCCTGACAAAAATTAACTATTAACTATAATCCCCCTAAAAGCAAAGGAGTCCTTGAGAGCTACCGATTTGACTAAGTATTAAGATGTTTCCGTAGGGGCTGGAGGTGTAGTTTGCTAGAGGGGCAGCCTAAGATGAAGGGCTACAGATTGAGTCTGTAGAGAAAGGAAGGAAAGATTAACCACAGTGAAATAAGATCATCTTCTGCCCATCACCCTGATCTCATCTACTTCATGAAATTAAGACATTTCTCCCTACAGTGTTAAAGACCCGAGAAGGTTCCAATAAAAGCTTTGGTCTAAGTTTATAATGAACTCCCCCCACAGCAACATGTAGAACTCGTCTGTCCCCAGATAGAAAAGTGAAACACTTTCCGAGCTGCTGCTGCCTCCTGGGAGAAAGTACCAAGATTGGTGGCCAGGGATCGGTCGCCAGTGCCTTCCCGGTGCTCCCACAAGCCTTTTGTAAAACTTAGTTGTTTTTTTACGCCTGGAACACCACACATCCTGAGCAACCAGCACTCACAGTGTGCAGCCTTTCAGTTCCACCACCTAGGTGGGAGGGTCCTAGTCTCCCCAGGAACTCACAACGCGCAGGCACTCTCCCTACACAGACAGGTGTGTCCTGAGCTTCTGAAGAGGAGCCAATGACGACCGCAGTGCTCTCAAGATCCAGTTAGCTGCACCTTACCATCTTCCAGGGAGGGAGAGACACGAACAAACCTGGACCCTCCTCGCCACTGAGTCTTCAGTTACTTCGTCAGCCTCCCGACTAAATCCACGGCCCCCCCGCCTTCTAATCAGGTGGACCCATTCCTGTCCGCACTTGCCTCTTACCTTGATGCTCTTCCCAGTGAACCCTGGATCTTCAAAATTAAGTCACAGGTTTATCCTGTCCCCAAGATCCAGAACAAAGACGCGCATGTGCCCAAACCTGAGTGACCCCAACAGAAAGGTTTATTGTTCCACTCCCGTCCCCACAAACCCCTTGGTGACAGCAGAAACCTACACGTGTAACTACCACAAAACAACCATAATCCTTTCCTAGGATGATTTTGATGACATCAGACTGGCACCAGGTGCACAGATACAAAAGACGCCAAAGAATCGCAAGTTTACCTCTCCCGTAATTTCTCTTTAAAAGCAAGCAAGAGCTTTAGAATCAACGCTGCCACCTAGTGGCCAGCCAAACAAACCCAGTAGTGGATGAGCAAAACAGGCCCACCCGGTGGGCTTACTAAGCTGGTTTCCTGCCACACTGCGTGGGCCCAGCACCCTCCAGTCTTGGAGTACAGAAAGCCACATCTGGCCTGTGACACAGATCCCTCACACACTGTCCCCTGCCCATTCTGAGGTCCTACAGGTGCTCAGTCCTACAGCCAAGTAGAAAGGACACAAAGACCGTGAGTCATCCAAATGTTCCTCTGTTCAGAGTGTATACACCGTGATTTTGATGTCCGTTGCCTCAAACACCTCTTCAATAATCGCAGACACATTTTCCCACTGCAGACGATCCAGACCACATCCAATCCTGAAAACAGAAGAAAAGATCTCATCATTTCCCGGTCTTTGGTTATGATCAAGTGTGGATAAACAAAACCTAAAAGTACTTGGGAGGCTGTTCCTCCTTCCCCTTCCTTTAGGCTCTATGCAAGGCCCAGTCCTCGGGGCGCACACCTACAGGCAGCCACAATGAAGAATCGACAGTCCAGTCTCAGTGGGAAGCCACTCAAGACAGTTCTTAGGTGTCCACCATATTTCTTCACTTGCCAATTTCTTATTACTTTTTTTTTTTTTTGATTTTTTTTTTTGAGACAGGGTTTCTCTGTGTAGCTTTGCGCCTTTCCTGGGACTCACTTGGTAGCCCAGGCTGGCCTCGAACTCACAGAGATCCACCTGGCTCTGCCTCCCGAGTGCTGGGATTAAAGGTGTGCGCCACCGCCGCCGCCGCCGCCACCACCACCACCACCACCACCACCGGCAATTCTTATTACTTTCTAATGATTTCATTCTTTGACACGAGGCCACTAGTCCAGTTACCCTCTTTCAGTGGATGGGAAAATACACATACGTTTAAAACACACTTACAATAATGGAATGCTAAAGAGGATGCAAGGGAGAAGAGGACCTTTGCAAAAGGAAGCAAAAAATGGAATGTCCAGAAATGTGGGCTGTGGCCAAAATGAGATCGTCACAGCCTACTGGTCAACCTGTAAAGCTCTACCATCTGACACTTTTCTTTTAATATGACACTGATCCTCAACAACCCTAGGGATAAAGGGGACACTTAAAATCCCAATTTCACATGATAGCAAGACAATGAACTTCAAAAATAGCGATTTTTAAAAAAAGTTTCTGATACATAAGCCATGAGTATACTAAAGAAGGGATGATGGGCTGGAGAGATGGCTCAGCAGTTAAGAGCACCCACATGGCAGCTCACAACTGTCTGTAACTCCAGTTCCAGGGGATCCAACACCCTCACAAAGACATACATGCAGGCAAAACACCAATGTACATTTAAGAAAAAAAAGAAAAAGAATTGATGTTGTGGTCACACCCAAAGTCACTTAAACTTGGTTAGCACTGACTGAAAACTACTAGGGTAATAAAAAGAGAAGGGAAAATGTGGTGATATATTGTGTGCCCTAGTAAATTTGCCTGAAGAACAGAGAACAGAACAAGCCACTAGATTAAACATAGAGGCCAGGCAGTGGTGGCACACACCTTTAATCCTAGCACTCGGAGGCAGAGATCCGTCTGGATCTGTGAGTTCAAAGCCACCCTGGACTACATGAGACTGACTCAGTCTAGGAGAGAAAACAGAGCCAGGCAGTGGTGGCACACACCTTTAATCCCAGTACTTGGGAGTCACACACCTTTATTCCCAGCACTTGAAATCTCACACCTTTAATCCCGGTATTTGGGAAGCATACACACCATCAATCCCAGCACTAGGAAGGAAGTGATGGCTGGACAGAGAAAGGTATATAAGGCGTGAGGAGACAGGAACTAAAGCTTTTTGGCTGAGAGACCAGTTCCTGAGGAAGCAAAGGGTCACAGAACACCCAATGTCATTTAAGTCCTCAAAGGGACAGCAGGGACAAGTCCTGACTGCTCCCCATGGAAGGACAAGTAGGCGAGCAGCATAAACGCAGAGATCACTGACAACGTCCCTGGCACAGACTCAACTGGAGGAGATCGGCAGCAGCGTGCAAGGAGCTGTGGCTGCTGCCTCCGTTCTGGGACTCCACTGCTTCCAACACCACTCAAGAACTCAACAGATGTGTCTGAACACCAAGGGCACTCCCCAGAGGAGCTGAGGCAGGTGTGTGCCTTCCATTACATACTCTGATTCACTCAACTTAAGCTAGAAAACAGCTATCCTACGGCCTCAGAGCCAGTTGGTAGGGAGCTCTGAGGAGCAGGGATATGTCTACCTTTACATCTACACTCTTGGCTTGGCCTGGAAGTTAGAGATTCAACCAATCAATCAATTTGATCTTCGTCAGGACCCTGGATTTCCTTGCCTGGGCATGGAGAGGTCAGTGACTCCATTCTTCAAACAGTGGGACTTCATGGCCTCTAAACTCTTGCGCAGGTTCTCGTAAGTCGGCTTATGTGAAGCCCGTCTCTTTGTGATCTGAACACAAAAGGAAGGATTCAAACTCTCATTAGCCCCACCTCCCAGACAGGGAGCCAATGAGGAAGCCCCCGATTCCTCTACACCCTGAAATGGAAAGAATGAGCACTTTCAGCAGGGACGACAATGTCCCACAGCCACAGGAAAAGCCACTAATAACTGAGAAACAGACTCCGATGTGTAACAAGGAAAACCACACGGCACAGGAAAGCTGTGCCTATTGCCATGCTTAAGCAAGGTGGTGAATTCTGTGCCAGATAAGTGGCACACTTGTGCCAAGGTGCCCACACTGCCCAAGCAGCCCCCTTCTGTTCATTTAGAAATCATGCTCCCCTGCTTCTGTTTCCCTAAATGAAGCAGCAAGAGGCAATTCTGCTAACAGAACATCATTCTCGGCTTTTAGGACAGCTCCCACAGCTTAGCATTATCTCCGCACTGTTTGCTGGCTAGAAAAGGTTTGTAGTGGCTTGGCTCTAAATCACCCAACTGGTTGGTTGTAAAGAAGCCACACCTCTTCTGGGGCCAAAGATGGTGTGGAAGGTAAAGAATCCCACATTCTCATAGCAGGCAGGAAAGGATCAGAGCATTCTGTGGCTCTGCATTTGACAGGGAAGATTATTAGACTCCCTCAGGGAGATCTCTTGAGACCAGGTTTCCTTTCACTGTGACTAAGAAAGGGTAGTGGGTCTCCCTAAGGTCCACCACTCTTGGATCACAGGCCTGTAGTGGACAGCACAGCGTCTCACCATGGAACTGTGGCCCAGTCTGATACGCCTAACTCAGTGCTCCAAGCAGCCAGCTCCCCTGGTGTCAAATTGGAAGCTGTCTGGCATCCTTTGCTGTGAAGGATGGAGCATCATCGTGATCAACGAAGGGAATTTGCCAATCCATACGGTATAAAGATTTGGCCCCATCTTACCAAGTAATATATATATCGTCCATCTCTCTTCAGAACAGCCACTTCTCCAGACTTCTTTTCTAAGAAAACAGTTACTTAATAGTAAAAAGGAAAAAGAAAACCAAAACACCCATCTCCACACTTACGGTAAGAAAAATTTTTATAGACCTGTGTGTACCTATCCCAATTTCAAATGCACTGTCACCTGCCCACTTAAAAACACTAATGCTAACTGTCTGGAAATTGTCTTAGAATGTGCCACTATTCAAAATCTGTCAAACACGTTTAACAAGGTGTGTGTGTGTGCGTGTGCCTGTGGAGGCCAGAGACATCAGATTCTTTGGAAGCAGAGTTACAGGCAATTGTGAGATAGTCAATGTGGAGGTAAAGAATCAAATTCATGTCTTCTTCAAAAATCACTGAGCCATGTCTCCAGCATCCCCCCACCCCACCTCACATCACCTTATATTTTAATTCCTTTTTCTTTTTTTCCTCCTTTTTTTGAGACAGGGTCTCTCACTAAAACTGGAGTTCCCTGAATCAGCTACTGACTAGCCAGTGAGCACCAGAGATCCACCTACCTCCACCTCCCCAAGGAGAAGCAAGTATGTCTGTACTTAGCTTTTAAAAAGAAAACGAAACAAAACACAGGGGTTCTGGGGACGGAGCTCACATTCTCATGCTCGCTCAGCAAACACTTTACAAGACTAAACCATGTCCCCATCCCAATGATGACCTTTCAGTGTTGTATTAAACATTATGAGGAACATCCCCCCCCATGCCTGGGGCTTCTCTGTGTAACAGCCCAGGTTGTCCTGGAACTTGCTTTGTAGACCAGGCTGGCCTCAAACTCACAGAGAGCCACCTGCCCAGCTATGAGAAACAATGCTTAAGGTCTTAGTTATTATCTTAGAAGTCTGGAGAAGTAGCTGTTCTGAAGAGGGATGGGTCTGAAATGTGGTCTGAGAAATTATTTCAGAAGCTCCAGATGTACTGTAATGCACAGTTCTGATTTAAAGTCATTGATAGAGTGGTGGAGAGGTCTGTAGAGAAGCAGTTTCCAAACTACTCTCCATTGGTCTAAGTATCTAGACCAAGCTGGCCTTGAACTCAGTGATCCACCCCTCTCTGTATTTTGACCAATGAGATTAACGGTGTCTGGTACCACTTCCAGTACAAACTACTCTCTGAAGAATAAGTTGAAAAAGCCTGGTGCAGTGGCTCATGCCTGTAACGTCAGCATTCAGGAGACTGAGCCAAGAAGACTGCTCAGAGTTCAAGACCAGCTTAGGAAGTGCCAGGCCAGTCCAGGCTACACAATGAGACTCTGTTTCAAAGAAAGAACAAACAGAACAGTATTTAGTACAGGATCTTGACCTCCAAGCATAATGGGCCTAAGGAACTTGATAGGCCTTCAGTTAACCAAAGGTTTGAGGGAAGTGAAATAATTTTGGAAGAAAATTTTTGAGAGTTTGGGAGATGAACTGATCAATAAAGTGTTTACTGCACAAACATGGGAATCTGAGTTTGATCCCTAGTTTTTTGCACATAAAACCTGTACGTCAGGGTACACACTGTGCACCCCAAACTGGAAAAATGGAGATAGGAGGGTGCCAGGGCCCTGATGGCCAGCTAATGGAGCTAAATGGGCAAGCTCAAAGACAGACAGTGTCAACCTCTGGCCTCCACATACGTATCTGCACACCATGAACTTATACACACACACACAAAAGAGGAAGAGATTGAAAACTTTTGTAAAAACTCTGATTTGGTATGGTAAAGATCCAAACTAGAGGCTGTTCTTGTGAGGAAATTAAAAAACAAAAACAAAAACAAAAAAAAAAAACAACCAAAAACTGAAAAGTTAAAAGCACTAGAGATCTCTTTGAATACACATGTAAATAGAGTGTACTAGGAGACCAAACCATGCTTCAGCCAGGATGAAATAGGCTACTCTGAAAACTCACGTTGATTTAACAGTTCCTGCACCCCTCCAAATTTCTTCTTGAAGAGAACAGCTATGCCAGCACCCATTCGACAATCCTCACTGATACAATGGGCTAGAGAGTCTGTTTTGGAACATGCGAAAAGATCTCCTTTCACATAAGTGATCTAAAATGCGCAAACGGAAAGAAAAAGCGTGTTAAAAACAGAAAAGGATTACTCCTTTCAGAGCTTCAACAGAGCCCCCCCCCCCCCCCCCCCCCCCCGCGCGCCTCTTCCCTGCTTCTCCACTGCCACTCTGAATTAAAGCCAAACCTTCCCATCTTACAGAATTAACCACCATATATTAAAGTTATCTGGAAAAGGAAAGTGATGGATGATCTCTGCCTAGGATTGTATTAGCCTTTCCTAAGTAAACCAGCTAGAGAAACAAACTGGGAGGGGGGTGCTGCGAAAATCCAATTATTGGTTTAATTAGAAAGTGTTTATGTTTTTGACCTCAATTATTCTGAATTTCACTTCACCGATAAATTTAATAGTTGTCACGCACTCGACTTCCTTCTGGATCTTCATTAAGGCAGCCGGCCATGATACTGAGTCGCTATTTCCAGAATTTAAGTTTCTTCTGCTAATGAAAAGGAAAAGCAGGTAAAAACGCTCACGCAGCCTGAACACAGCACGTTCGGATCACCGTGACAACCCACTTAGTTTCCCCCACCTCCTCTACTTTTCTCTTAATGTGAGTTCACTCAGCCTTTAAGAGGCAGCACAAAACAGCTTTCCAGGAGCGGAAGCAAAGGCAGTCCCAAGACACACCTCCTTACTTCAAACCTTCTCCTAGCGGGATAGAGTTTAGAATAGGCTGGTATTTTCCCAGAGGATGGGGCTTAGAAGAAAATAGGAGGGACTCTGAACAGTCCCAATGAGCTGCAATCAGAGTGCATCGAACTGAGGTGTGCTGAGTGCAGGCGGAGAGGACAGCCTCTCCGGGAAAGATCACCATCTCTCCTACAGGTGCAGGAAGGAAAGTCTAAACAAGCTTCCCAGTCTCTCCTCCTACCCTAAGGAGGGTCAGTCCTGGGATCCCGTAGGAGGGTTTGTGCGGGAGTCATCCTTCACCTGCAAAGGAATCGGCCGTCAGCAGGCCCTCCTCCACGCAGGGAAGAGACGGAAGCCTGGTAGGTGGGGAGCAACAGAAGAGCCCCGACGCGGAACCAATGCCGCCAAGGCCTTTAATTGCACGCACCCAAGATGGCGGCCCCCACCCCTTAACGGAGCGGAAGTGAGCCTCTCTAGCTACCAAGCCGAGCCCGCTCTCTATGGTGAAGGCTTCAGAATTTCCGGCGGTAAACTGTATAGTCTCCCGCCGCCGCTCAGGCATGCGTACCAAGATGCCGACCCCGACTTGAGAAGAGGAGCGCTTGCGCATTTGGGCTGAGGGGGGGAGTGTGTCCCAGTGGTCGCTTAGGAATGGGTGGACAGTTGGCAAAAAAATAAATAAATAATTTTAAAAAGGGCGTGTCAGCGCCTGCGTAGTATATCACTCAGGGCGGTGTTTGCGAAGACCAGTGTGGCGCCTTCCCTGCGTAAGACACGGCGGAAGGCGGCGTCAAATCTAGGCAGTGGGTGTGGCCCCTGGGACGCCTGCGCAGTGCTCCTGCTGGGGGGCGGGGCCAGGTTGGCCGGGGTTATGGGGCGTGGTCTCGAAGGCGCTTGCGCGAAGGCGGTTGGAGGGAGGCCCGATTCCCCTTTGTTCAGATTCGCCATTTTGCGAGGCAGCGGCAGTGGCGGCGGCGGCGGCGGCTGGAGCCTCTGATTGGGTTTCGGGGTCCGGTACTGGAGCCAATCAGCGCGGGCAGCGAACCGGGGGAGCGAGGCACGGTGAGTATGAGGAGCCAATATCCAGCGGCCCAGAGCCGGCCCCAGCGCCCCGATTGGCGGGTCTCGCTGACCACTCAGGAGAGGCCCAGGCGTCCGTCGAGCCCGGGAGTCGAGCCGAGGCTGCGGGAGCTGGGTAGCCGGCGGCCCCGGCTCGGAGCCCGTGGAGGCCTACAGGGGCCGTCCAGCGTAGGGATGGCGCCCTGGAGCCAGGCTCCTCGGAGTCCGGATCCTCTCCCGGCGCCCGTGGCGGATGCGCCGCTGCTCCCTGATCCTCGGGTACCGGGAGGGCAGGTGGCCAGCCGGCCCGCCACGGACCGTGGCAGTCTCCCCGCGTCGTTCCAGCCTCATCCTCTGACCTGTCCTTGTGTCCCCACGTTCCGGGCCCCGGTGAGGCCCGTGTCCCCTGAGCCCCTAGGCAGTCGGGCCGGCAGATCTGAAGCGAGGGCAGGCGGGGACGCGCAGCGCAGCCTCCAAGACCCACCCCGGGGCCGTTAGCGCGCCCGCCGCGCCCCTCCTCCCGGCCCGCCATCCCGGGGCTCCGGCCCGGCGCCGTTACCACCCCTTTCTGCTCGTCATTTCCTCTCCTCCCGCCCCGCTCGGCCGGCGATGCCGGCACACCTCCGTGCTGGAGCCTACCCAAGCGCTCTTCCTCTTTTCGCTGGGTGTTTGGAACCTCAGTCTTGCAAGACTGATAGCCTCGTGCATTCTTAATGACTGGGGACACACATCTCTCTGTTTCTTTTATCCGAGTCTCCTGTGAGCTCTGTGCCTTGCATGCTCTCTGATTCTGCTTTCCTTGAACCTTTTGTGCCAGTGTTAGGCACCACTCGGCTCAGCCCACTCGTGTCTGTTTTCTAATACACTTCCCAAATCCCGTGTGAACGTTTTCTCAAAAGATGTTAAAAAACTTACATGCCGAGATTTTTTTTTTCCTTTGGGAGAGAGAAAGTCTTCCATGTGCTGAGTAGTCTTTGGCGGGCATCACCTAAGTGCTGCAAGGCGGAGAGGTAGGAACCACGCCTGCTCTGTGGAGATTGGCCGGTGAAAAATCAATACCTGGGGCTTAGTGTTCTGTAGAGGTCTAGTGCAGTAGCGGGAAGTGCTATTTGCATGAAGAAGCCAGCCAATTTTCATCGGCACACTTGATTGGGCGTTGGAGGATAATGTCCTGGGCGGAGAGCATGTGTAGGCAGCAGATAGTGCTGTTGGACGCAGAAAGGGCCAGTAGTACTAAGAGTTTAGGCGGGAAAGTTCAGTTTGTAAAACCTTGCAGATCTCACAAAGGAATTTTTGGAAACTGCTTTGATGTAGCTTAAAAGTGATGTAGAGTGGATTTTCTCCCTATCAGTGAAAAAAAAAGTTAAGGATTCTACTCCATAATAATTGAATTGGGGGAGGGGGGAGGAAATTTTTCTCTGGCCAAACATCAGTTGTCCTCAGCACTTAGATGGAGCCCACTTTCTGGGTGTGGTTTCTTTAGTCACATTTGCTGAATTTTTTTGTTTGTTTTTTTTCGAGACAGGGTTTCACTGTAGCTTTAGAGCCTCTCCTGGAACTAGCTCTGTAGACCAGGCTGACCTTGAACTCACAGAGATCCGCCTATCTGCTCGGATTAAAGGCGTGTGCCACCGCCCCCACCTGACAATGTTTGCTGAAATCTTAACTGATGGGTTTGAGAAAACCAATCCAGTGCTCCTGAGCCGAAACAGCTTCACATTTTAGGAAGTTTTTCTTTGTGAAAACAAATTGTTTTCTTAATTCCCTTATGTTCTAATTCACTGTTCTGTTGCTGTGACAAGCACCACACCAAAAGCAACTTGGGCAGGTTTATTTCCTTCCCCCGCTTAGAGTCCGTGAAGGGAAGTCCAGACAACGCAGCAGAGGCTCTAGCGGGTGCTCTTTGCTGCCTTTCTCCTCAAGGCTCAAACTCAGGACCTCCTGCCTAGAGGAGATAGCATCCACAGGGGCTTGGGCCCTCCCACATTCATCAGGAAGATGCCCCACGTGTTTGCCCACAGGCCAGTCTAATGGAGGCATTTTCTCAGTTGGTGTTTTCTCATCTCCAAACCCTGGCTTGTGTCAAGTTGACAACTAACTAGCACACCTTATTTCTTACATTTGCAATAGTAACTGGGTCAGCGTCAGCATGGTTTCAATCTTTTTTAAAAATAGAGTTGCCTTTGGACCGGGTGTTCTGACCTTAGTATTTTAAAAATGGATGCATCTGGTCATTTGAAAATGCCAAATGTTTTTGCTGACAAAAGGCAGTTATCCTCTGGTTACTGTCGCTTGGGCGCTCGGGGCCTCCACATGTTATCTGCCTCTGCATTTTAAGAAAAGTAATGCAGACTGGCTTTCGCTAGACACGGCCTGAGATTTTCCCCTCTGAAGGACTTCTTCACCCTAGACTGGACCTCACACTTCAGGTCATTCACATGACACCTCCTCCTGGTGGTTTCCTTGATTTATCCCCAGCTGGAAAAGCCTATCTTCCAAATCGTGTTTACTTTGTTCTCCTCCTAGGAGTCTAGAAGACATTTTTGTTCCCTTTTAGACTTAAAACCCTCTTTGAAGTTAGAATCTTGTTTTATTGTTTAAGTTCATGGTATATTGTTAGTAGAGAAAAGGAGTAAATTTGGAGCCTTCAAAGGTCCTAGCCTGGTGTTTGCTTGTGATTGTCAAGTCCGATGGCCTGTGTTGATATCATGCTTATTGTAGCTGCATTTCTGAACATTTCATCTTTCAAATAACTTGAGATAGATTATCTTTCTAAGCTCTGGCCAACTGCTTCTGTGCCTTTTAAATGGGCAGGGAGTGCTATGGAAAGAATGTTTGAGAGACCAGAATAAATCCACTCTCATTCATATTCATCTATATTCTCACTTTCAGAAACATTGAAAATGTTGTGGAAGAGCTAGACAGACTGAATACAGCAGGCTCAATTTTGTCATGATCTTGGGCAGAGAAGCACTTGAGGAAGGCAGTGTGTCAGATCGCATGCAGTTCTAGCTGCAGGTGACAGAAGCAGACACATGCAGCTCCACTGGAGCCAAGAAGCAAGCGCCATTGCTCCCTTACTAATGCAGAATGGCTGCTGCATTTGGAGCTGCCTCTGCTTTTCAAACCCTTCCAAGTACAGTGGGCTTCGATGGCGAAGCGTTTGAATCAGCAGGATAAACTAATGAAGACCAGGTGCTACTTGTTAATCATCCTTCAAGCTCCATTTTACATTTTAATCTGATAAGATGCAGATTTATGGAAATTTAGCCAAGAAGAAAGCCTTATAGGAAGAGGACTTGGGGCTAGTGGACGTATTGAAATACAGAGAATGTTAATATTCTCTATTTTTCACATCAAAGTATAATCACTGTATGTGTGTATATTTTGGTGAGTTTTTAGAACTCTCCACACCTGTACAGTCCCTCCTTCTGGAAAGTGATGAGAACTTTGGTCGCCCCCAGGTTTGTAGAGCTCGTCCAGTCAGCCTCCCCTTCTCTTTCTCAGGCCCAAGGAACTCTGATCTTTTTCTCCTCTGTCTAGGCTACTGATATCAGGGTTTATATGAATGGTGCCATGCTTGTTTATATTGTGATCTCAGTGTTATTAGTTTAAAGACATAGACATGGTGTTAGACACAAGGTAAAACATGCAAACATGAGGCCTGCTGTGTGGGTGCACGTCTTCAATCCCAGCACCTGGAAGGCAGGTGGATCTCTGAGTTTGAGGCCAGCCTGGTCTATAGAAAGGGTTCCAGGACAACCAGGGCTATTTGAAGAAACCCTGTCTACACACACACACACCCCCAAAAGGGGAAACATTGGCTTCCCTCATAGAGCCACCTAGTTTGGCTGATTTTCCGTATTGTACCTGGAGTCTCTCAAGAATCAACTCATTCAGCTGGCTCAGAGAAGGCTGGTGTAACAATCGGTAAACTTAGCCAGCTTTTCATCTGATGTGATTAATATCTAGAATATAGAAAAAAACTAAAAAAACCAAAATAATCTACTCAATAAACAGTTCTCAAAAGATTATAAATGGCCTATAGATGTATAAAAAAATAACATACTGAGCCACCAGGAAAATACAAATCAAAACTATACTCACTCAAGTCAGAATAGCTGTCATTAAGAACATAGAGAATGTTGTTACGTACCCAGGGAGGCAAAGGCAGGCAGAAGCCAGCCTGGTCTACAAAGCGAGTTCCAGGACAGTTGTTATGCAGAGAAACCCTGTCTCAAACACCCCCACACACACTAAAAAAAAGGAAGAAGACAGAGAATGCTGTCGAGGATGGGAGCAGCTCTTACATATCCTTGGATGGAATATGAACTAGTTCAACCACTAGAGAGAGTATATGGAAATTGGTGCATATATTAGTCAGGGTTCTCAAGGAATAGAACTGAAAGAGAGACTGAGTGCATGCGTGTTAAGGTGGTTTATACCCTGTGGTCCAGCTAGTCCGACATTGGCTGTCTACCAACAGAAAGTTCGAGAATCCAGAGGTTGTTCAATCCTCAAAGCTGGATGTTCCATACACACCAGAATCCTGAAGAAGTAGTCTGTTAATGCCAGGGAAGGAATGAACTTGCCAGCAAAGGCAAACAGGGAAAGAGCAAAAGTGTTCTTCTTCCATGTCCTTTATACAGGCTGCCACCAGATTGAAGGTGGGTCTTCCCACTTCAGGTGATTGAATTTAAAAAAATTCCTCACAGGTGTACCCAGCTGCTTGATTTTAGTTAATACGAGATGTAGCCAAGTTGACATCAGGAGTAGCCACCAGTGTGGAAATTCTCAAAAAACTAAGACTAGAACTAATGTATGAACCTGCTGTACCACTCTGGGGTACAGCTGGAGAGAGCAGAATTAACATATGTACTAAAGGCACTGCATTTCATTGCTGTGCCTTCACAACCACCAAGTTAAGGAGTCTAGGTGCCAATCAGTGGGTAAACGGATGTATACTCAATGGACTATTATACATAAGAACAAATGGAACTGGAACAACACAGTAAGGGAAAGGAGGCATATTCAGAAAGATAAATACCAAATATGTTCTCTCATATGCGTACTCTAGATTAAAACCGACAAAAAGAGGGGAAATTATTTGTAAAGTAAGAAAGAGGGTCAGTGTGGTCCAGACAGGTTACTACATTATGTAAAAGCCATTGTTTTATACAATGAACACATGCTAATAAAGTAGCAATCAAGTTTAGTTATGTTGCTATTTACATTATCTTCCCATTGCAAGTCCATTAGAACCCACTCTAAAGGTGTAGTGCTCTGTTTTGGTTATGGATAATAAGTCTGATTATTATTATTTTATTTCTTGGTTTTTTGAGAAGGGATTTCTCTGTGTAGCTCTGACTGTCCTGAAACTAACAGAGATCCGCCTGTTTCAGCCTCCTGAGTGCTGGGATTAAAGGTGTACGTCACCTCTGCTTGGCGCCTGATTATTTTTATTTTCCCCAACATTGTAGCATAGAAATTTCTAGACAGTGAAGTTGAAAGAGTGTTATGATGGATACCCATATACCTATTACTTAGATTCTACCATTAGCATCTGCCATACTTTAGTATTTATGCCAATTCATCGTTCCACTTTTTTTTTTTTAAATCACGAGTAAGTTACTGCTAGAAGAAAACATTGATTTGTGAGATCGACAAAGATCAGGTGTGTCCAGGGTGGTATGCAGGCAGTAAAGGATGAGAACCTTCTGAATAGGACCCCAGTGGCACTGGAAGTAGTCTTAATTGACAAATGGGGTTATGTGAAATTAAGAGTTAACAAAATGAATAGTCTGCAGAATGAAAGTTTCCTAGCATACTTTAGACAAGGGGTTAATATCTGCAAAATTATTAGTTGTTTGTTGGAGGCAACTGCTCATCCTCAGTTGCTGTCCTCCTTTGAGACAAGGACTTTCATTGGTATGGGGCTCACTAATTAGGCTGAACTAGAGCCCCAGGGGCTGTACTGTGCCTGCCCTCTCAGCTCTGGCCTTATAAACTCACCACCACACCCAGAGTTCTAGACATTCTGGGATCAAACTCGGGTCCTCATGCTCATGAGGCAAGTACTTTACCAACTGAGCCACCTCCCCAGCCCCAAGAACTGCAGACATTAACCACCAGAAGACTAGACCTGCCAGACAGTAGATAGGTTCCACAGCTCTCAGAAGAAGCACAGAGGGCCAGTATCTTCAAATGTGACCAACATCCTTAGCCACCAGGGTAATGTAAATTAAAACTACACCATCCCTCCTCCTCACCCAAGTCAGAATGGCTCTCATCCAGAAAATAAAGACCCACCAGTCCTGTTGAGGATACAGGAAAGGAGAGCCTCATTTACACAGCTGGTTGGTGGAAATGAGTGTGGAGGTTTCTCAAGCAAATTAAACAGATCTACCACGTGACCCAGCCATACCACCTGTAGGCATGTACCGAAAGGGTTCTGTACTACCTCAGAGATACTTGCACATCCAAAGTTACTGCTGCACTGTGCACAGTAACAAGGGAATGGACCCAACCTAGATGTGTCATCAATAGAATGGATAATAAAAATGCCTTGCATATGCAAAATGGAATTTATACAGCCATAAGAAATGAAGTCTTCAAGAAAAACAGATAAATCTGGCAAGTGTGTTATGTGATGGCTATTTGTGTCAACTTGACTACGTCCAGAATTAACTAAAACCCACCTTAGAGGTATTTTTGTTGACTGAATCATTTGAAGTGGGAAAACTTTAATCCAGATCTTTTCAGGTAGGACAACCCACCTTTAATCTAGGCCCCATGTTCTGCTGGTGGCATCCTGTATAAAGGACATGGAAGACTAAAATCCACTAAAACTGAGTCAAAAGAAACAATTCCTTTCCTCTTGTTAGATTTTGGTCACAGCATCACAGAGATAGCTAATACACAAGGTAAGTTTCCAGGAAAAAAAATAAGTGCAGGCATTTTTTAAATGTGAAAACACAATACCATGTTTTTGTTTGTTCTGTTGGTTAGTCTTTTTGAGGAAGGTTTGTATAGCCCAGGCTGGCTCAAACATCTCCTATTGGTTTTCTTAGTAATGTCGCCTATAGTTAGAAAATAAATAATCGTGTCTTAAGAGAGCTTTACTGAGTGACGACTCACTTTAGGTTTTCTCCTCCCCTTTCTGATAGGATTCCCTCGCTGGCAGCTGCCTGGGGTCTGCAGAGTGAAGCTACAGGAGGACTCTTAACGTGGCGGGGCCATGGAGCAGTATACAACGAACAGCAACAGTTCCACAGAGCAGATCGTGGTGCAGGCTGGCCAGATTCAGCAGCAGGTATGGGAGCCAGTGTGCCATGACCGTCCCAGTTCTGCAGCTGGTGACAGAGCGGCGGCTTGTTTGTGCTTACTCTGGGGAAGTTCTTGGGCCCTGTCAGACCTTACAAGACCCTCCCGGGTCTCATGACTTGTGCTGCACTGGGAACCTGTCTGTTGCCACTTGGCATCTGTTCTTTGTGAAGACCACTTTAGAAGTAGATTGGCCCTTTGTAGCTTATTGAAATGAAAGTCAGAACATTTTCTGCTTTGCTCTGGATTTGGTCTCCTCGTTCCCTTTGTTTTATGCCAACTTGTGATAAAGTAAGGTTTAACCACAATAGACAACAGTCAGATTTCAGGCAGTCTGCTGGTCTGTTCTACCCCAGAGTTTATTCTGAACAGTTGTAGTTAATATTAGAATAACACTTGGGGTGCTGCTCTGTGGATAAGTACATATTGAAGAGGAGCTCCTGCTGCCAGTTCTTCCATAATGAAGTGGACCAGATGTTTGAATTAGTGCACAGAGAACATTTGCCGTGCTTTTACCTAGGTTTATGGTAGCAAACCTTCTCTCAATCCCCCACCCCCACCCCCACCCCGGAGCTTTGGAAAAAAGACATTGTTTCTATCTGCTCACAGGCCAATGCTGTTGTCCTGGGTGTGTTTTCTCCTTAGAATAGAGGTTCACTAAGACAGATTAGAGGGAGGGTGAAGGAAGTATTGATGATGAGTTCCATCCGGCTGGTCAAGGGGAGAGGCTACTCTGCATTAAAGGGGATTAATGAGCTTGGTAGCTCCCCAGCCTTCCCAGCCCACACACTGCTGTAGCACTAGCAGCTTCCTGCAGCTGCCTTAGCAAATGGGCCTTGGAGGAGCCTTCACACGGACAGAGCCTTGGTGGGTCTCTTCCTGGGAGGACTTCCCCAGGATAGGAAGTCAGGTGGCTTTCTGAAAACATTGCCTCTGAAGCAGCCAGTCATTTGGATAGGAATAAGTCTTCATTTGGGGGGTGTAGGAGTAGCAGCCTTTCGAGGCTGAAATTTGGATCACCATGACTAGTTCCTTCTTCCTTGGTGATGTGTTAAAGCCCCAGAAACTTGGTCATTTCAAGGCTTTAAAACCTGGTGGTTTTGTTCTTGTGAGCCTAAGCAAATGAAGAAATCTTTACCATAAATGTATAGCAGTGGGGTAAAATTCCTGTGTTTGGAAATAAGGAAGGCCTGCATTGTACTGTTGTGTTAAGTCATCGAAGTATGTTGTAAGGCCCACTCTAGGAACAGAGCTTGCTATACGACAGCTTGGAGATGGGAGTCAACACCTTTGAAAGCTCCTGTGTGGAATGAAGCTTTTCAGAGACTCCCCCTTCCCCCTCAAGTGATCTCAGGTCTTGAGCTGTACGTTTCTATCCTGATACATTTCAAGCTCTTCCTGTTCCTGTTCTCAGCAGCAGGGTGGTGTCACTGCTGTCCAGTTGCAGACTGAGGCCCAGGTGGCATCCGCCTCAGGCCAGCAAGTCCAGACCCTCCAGGTAGTGGTGCCCTCTCTGATTCTCTGTGAGCACTGCATGAACATTGCCTGTCCGCTGCTGTTTGTGTTTGGATCTCAAGTTGAATGGCAAAGTTGCATGCCTTTTGTGCTGCTAACCTGTCTCTGAGGCCAACATGCCAGTGTCCCATGCCAAAACATCTGGTGACTGCTATGTCTGTTTTCTGAGAAGTATGTGCTAAGTGTGTTGCTTTAGAAATGCCAGGAAACAAGCCACAGGAAGACATTTTACAGATGGCTTTAGAGCTTACTCAGTGCTCAGATGCCAGTCCAGCCACTTGGTAAAATTTTGTGAATTATATTACACCAGAGAAGCGGCTTGGAGAGGCATGGCTGTACTGTGTTTTGTTTTTGCTAAAAGTGTACTTGGACTGCTAACAGCCATTGCACTGAGCCAAGTTTATCTGAGGACTGCATAACCTTTCCTGTCTCATTACCGGGCTCTCCTGAGGTGATGGCATATCTCTTGGATGGGCATATTTAAGTGCAAGCATAGGGTATGGTGGTCCATGCCTCCTGTCCCAGCACTTGTATGGAGGCAGGAGGAATGAGAGTCTGAATCTGGGACCAGGTTGGGCTGTCTTTAAAAAAAAAACAAAACAAAACCGGGTGGTAGTGGCACACACCTTTAATCCCAGCACTTGGAGTGAGAGGCAGGTGGATCTCTGTGAGTTCAAGGACAGCCTGGGCTCCAAAGTGAGTTTCAAGAAAGACCCAAAACTACACAGAGAAACCCTGTCTTGAACAACCAAAGATGGGGAAAAAAAATGAACTGGAGTTAACAAGTGCTGTTCTTCAGTATCATGTATGGTCAATTTAAATATCCTAAATTCCCTTGAAAAATAAGGGTAGCAGCACTGGTCTTTTCTGGGTCCATTGAGAACTAAAGGTTTTGAGAAATTGGCAGGATTCAGATGCCTGCCCTCCCTGTCTTCCTCCACGGAATTGGAATGACTTAGTTGGGCTTCCAAAGACAAACTGGCATCCCACTTTCTAGTGAGTGCTGCTGAGATCCTCTTGAAGGTAACCACCCCTTCCTGTAAGCCAGTGGTTCTCAACTTCCTAATGCTGTGACCTTTAATACAGTTCCTAATGTTGTGGTGACCCACCCCCAACCATAACATTATTCCATTGCTACTTCATAACTAATTTTGCTACTGCTCTGAATTGTAATGTAAATATCTGTTTTCTGATGGTCTTAGGCGATCCCTGTGAAAGGGTCATTTGACCCCATAAGGGTCATGACCCACAAGTTGAGAACCACTACAGTAAGGCCTTGACCCTGTCAACCCTCCCCACCCCTGCCGCTTAGTATGTTTGGTGATGACAGTGGCAAGCGAGTTCTTCACATCCATTCAGACAGAAGAAGTGGGTTCTGTTTGTCTTCCTGCACAGGTGGAATCTGAGGGAGCGCAGTGGCTTTCTGTTCCTGCCTGCTTCATCTTGTTAATACATGAAACGGTGTCTGGGGTTGTCATTAACCACCGTGGAATGGGAATGTCACGTGCTCTTACCTGTGTGGCTTCTGTCTCATGCATGAGTCCTTATCATCTGTTGTAGACATGGTGAGCTCTTCAGAGTCTCATCTCCGTTGTCGCATGATATGTAGCATGTTAGTGGGCGGGGCGCGGGGGGTGATGGGTAACCAGAAAATTGTTACGTGTCTTAAGTTTGGGAACTATTTGCTATGCCAGGGTGAAGACCTAAGTTTGGATCTATAGAACTCACGTAAATATGTGGGTTTGTCCCTGTAACCCTGGCACTAGGGCACAGAAACAGGCAGACCCAGGGCGGGCTGGCTAAATCAAGGAGCCCTGAGAGACTGCCTCAGGTAACAGGGTGGTGAGCAGGAGGAGATAATATCCATGCCAGCTCTGGCCTCCACTCTCACACAGGGGGCTGCACAGCCTTAAAGCACACAGTAACAGCACAGCTGTGTCAGCCCCAGGATCTGGATCGCACTGAAAGAAATGGAATGATGGGAATTTTCCTTTATAAATCTCAGCGTTTCAGGAGAATTTAAAATAATTCTTTCTCTTACTCCTGTGGTAAGGCTTCTGATAAATTTCCTGACATAGCACATAAAAGCATTGGTGTAGCAAAGGGGATTTCAATGGAGAATTAAGAGGAGAGAATGTGAGCAAATACGCCATAAAGTCTTTACAGTCATGAGTTTCTCAGGGGCAGCCCTGAGGGTGGGCTATTCCTGATGGTTCTGATGGCGAGTGGTAGCAGGAGAGCCTCACCATCTCCTTATCTAGGACAAATTTGTTGTTCACACAGTTGATTGATGCTGTTGGAGGAGACTGCTGCTGGAACTGAGAACAAGTATTTAGCTGTTCTGTTACAGATAGTTCCTTCAAGCAAAGACAGTCTACAGCGGGAGTTTGGATTTGTCCTGTTGCTCATCCCCATCTCCAGAGCAGCTTCTCTCTGGGCCTCTGACGGCGTTCTCCCTGAGTTTTCACATTGGGGTGACCTCCTTTCTAGAGTAGTCTGTTGAACAGAAGACTTGAAGATTAGAAATCATTTACACATGATAGCTATCTGATTTCAGTGTTTGATTGCGTCTGATACTTAAATAACTATGTAAATATTTAAGATGCAGTATGCAGAACTCTACTGTGATGGTCACAGACTGACCGGAAAGTATTTCTGGAGAGTTGATTTGGTTTGATTTTGAGACAGGGTCTCATCAGGCTTATTTATGTGGAGCTCACTCTGCTCCCATCTGTCCTCAAGTCCATGCTCCTGCCCCAGCTTCCTGAGTGCTGAGATGACTGGCCTACCCAGTCTATGAGTCTTCAGTGGTGGACTCCTCGGGGTCAAGTGGAGGAGAACGTTCATGTTTCCCTTTTGAGTGAGACCCAGGAGGAAGGTCCGCATGAGCTTTCAGAGCTCTTCCTATTTGGCGGCTAGAGTTAGGGCTGCTTGGATTCACTTCTCAGCCCCCACCACCATTACCTCCCTCTCACCGACGCTCTTCCTGTCTTTACCAGAAACCATTCCTGGGTACCTGGTTGAGAAGGCAAACAGTCCGGTAACTTAACTGTTTCTTGAATGCAGCCTGGTTTTGGTGATAAATACCTTACATTGATTGAGATTTTCCAGAGTCTCAATAGGTTCCTTAGATTTGACTTTTGGATATCCAACTTGGCACTTAATCAAAAATAGCAGAAGTATCTGAAGAGCGTGAGACTTACTTTCTTGGAGTGGCAGAGATGGCTCAATGATTACGAGCACGTACTGCTACTGCAAAGGATCTGAGTTTAGTTCCCAGCACCAACGTGACAGCTCTTAATCACTGTACCTCAAGCTCCCAGGGGATCTGAATGCCCACCCTCTGCAGCAGCATATGCACATAAGCTCCACAGACAAACACATACATGGGAAGGGGAGGTAAAAAGACTGACTTTGTCATCCTGGCACTTGGGAGGCAGAGGCAGGAGGGTCTCTAAGTTCAAGGCCAGCTAGCACTACATAGAAAGACCCTGTGGGGCGGGGGGTGACTGACTTTCACTAAGTCTGTCTTGCCTCCCCTCCTGCCAAGCAGGAGGACAGTTCCAGTGACCAGTGACTGTCTTGGTGAAACCACTGTGTCTTACGCTGTTTCATTGTTGGTGTTTTATTTCATTCTAGGTCCAGGGGCAGCCATTAATGGTACAAGTCAGTGGAGGCCAGCTAATTACATCAACTGGCCAACCCATCATGGTCCAGGCTGTGCCGGGTGGACAAGGCCAAACTATCATGCAAGTACCTGTGTCTGGAACACAAGGTTTACAGCAGGTAAGTGGTATTTTAAAAGTATTTAGATGGCACATCAGTGAAGGTTGGTATGAGTGTGGGTGGTATATATATCCATGTGTGTACAGGTTTGCACACACAGATGGAGGCCAGACGTCAGTGTCAGGTGTCTTCACCTTTAGTCAGTTGCCAACACTTTTAATTGTTATACTTGAGAGTCCATAAGGAAACTTGGGCAGTGTACAGCCTACCAGATAGATGAAGAAGGTCTCTAAGACACGGGGCCGTGTCCTGATCCTCTTCCCCTTCCCTTCTCCCAACAGTTAGTCAGCTGGAGAGCTGCGGGAACTCGAGGCTCTAGGCATGTCCTTTACAGACTCAGTGGGTAGAAGCCACCTAACTGGAGGTAACCTCCCAGCTGCTAGATGTGTGAGGCAGGGCTCCTCAGGAGGGTCAGGGAAGTGACAGAACGGTTCCAAAGCTGCTGAGCAGGGAGATGGGGGTCTGCAGGTGGGCCAGGGCAATGACTTTGTTTAAGGAGCTGGGCACCCTGACTTCTGGGTTGGGGGTATTCTTGGGTATAAAGTACTAGAAATTTTGAGTGGTGGGGCCTTCCTAAGTACTTTCTCATTGGATCTTTAGAGGTTTGTATCCAGTAGTCAAGGAAGTAGGATTCTGTACATTGAGCAGAGTGTTGAGGCTTTTTTTTTTTTAACCTTTCCTCAAGTTAGAAGACTTCAAAGAAAAACTTTCAAAACTTGTCAAGTTTCTGATGATACTTCTAATAAGTGACTGTAGCAATTAAGATAAGGAAAGGAACTAGGTTCGGGTACCACACGGGATCTCATGCCTTCCATATCTGCTCTGTGAGGTTTGGTGCTCCAAAACCTGGAAGCAAAAGAGAAGTCTGGAGGAGGTAGATCAGCATTAATGGCAGTGCTGTGTGGTGGTGAGGGTTTGGAACTGGATTAAGAGGAGGAGTCCAGTGTGTCCCGTCACCTTCCCTGTCCCTGCTGTGTATGTTGTCTATTCCCATTGGAATATGTAGCAAGAAGCGTTTGTATTAGTTACTTTTCTTCTGGCTCACATTAAGGGCACCAGCCAGCATGGTGGGGAGACATGGCGGCAGGAACATTGCATCTGCAGCCGGGAGGCGGAGTAATGGATGCTGTGGGTCAGCTCGCTTTCTCCTTTCTTCACTCAGTTCAGGACCCCAGCTCATGGGATGCCACTTGCAGTTAGGATAGGTTTTCCCACCTCTAGAAACTCCCTCCACAGACGTGCCTAGGGCTTGTTTCCATGGTAATTCTTTATTCAATCAAATTGATGATTGTACATTTCAATTTCTGTGGATCAGGAATCTTGACAGCTAATCTCTGTCTCTCAAGGACCACCTAACATAGTGTTAACCTTGGCTGCCATAAGCTTAACATTTGACTTAGAAAGAATATATTTTGAAAGTTGTTTTATTCATTTATAAAGCACTTGAGTATTTTTAATTAAATGTACTTTAAAAAGATAACCATTCCAACAATTTTTTAATGAACACCGATTCTTTAATTGTTGATATCCCAAACAATATTCAATATTATTTGATGGTTTGAAAAACAGAAACAAGCTTTTCAGTAATTGATAGCTGATAGTAGGACAAGACTCCTATCCTCTTCCGAGCATTTATTACTTACTCTGTTGTAATTTTGGGACTAGGGTCTTAAGTAGGCCACACACTAGCTTCAAACTCACTGTGTCCTTAAGACTGGCCTTGTATTCCTGACCATCTTGCCTCTGCCTCCCAGGTTTTAGACTTAAAGGCATGTGCCTCCACATATTTCCTGGTCTCTCGAGGAATTATTCAGCTAATTTGCAGAAACCAAAGGAGAGAGACTGGAGAGAGAGCTCAGCGGTTAAGAACACTAGCTATTCCTCCCGAGGACTCAGATTTGATTTCCAGCACCCACATGGTAGCTCATAGCCATTTGTGACTCCATTTCCAGAGGATACAACTCCCTCTTCTGGCTCCTGTGGACACCAGGCATGCGCATGGTGAATACATACATACATGCATGCAAAACACCCATACACATAAAATAAAAATGAAAAGTAAAAACAAAAATAAGGAGCCAACAGAGTCATGTCGCTTTGGTACCAACCTTTCAGTGTATTGTCTTTCACAGATACAGTTGGTCCCCCCTGGGCAGATCCAGATTCAGGGTGGGCAGGCAGTGCAGGTGCAAGGCCAGCAGGGTCAGACCCAACAGATCATCATTCAGCAGCCACAGACTGCAGTCACCGCCGGCCAGACTCAGGTGAGCAGCAAGGCATCTAATTCACATAGAACATGAATGCACGAAAGCTATCAAAATGTCTTTGGGTTCTCGGTGGGCCTCTGGCATCTGTTGAGTATGTCACTGTTTTCTCCAGACACAGCAGCAAATTGCTGTCCAGGGACAGCAAGTGGCCCAGACTGCTGAAGGGCAGACTATTGTCTACCAGCCAGTTAATGCAGACGGCACAATCCTCCAGCAAGGTAAGCTGCCACTATTGCCCTGGAACTTTGCAGCCAAAGGTTCTAGCCTTTGAGTACCTGGGAATGCTTCAGAGGTGTTGTGAAGTCCACATCACATTTACACCACAACAGGGTTTCCACCAGATGGCCAGGGATTGTCAATTCTTGTCACCATAGTGTCCAACCCATTGATGTTTGTAGACTAGAATTGCTGCAGTTTAGTTCTAGGCCTCTACATCTAGTTGTTTACTTTAGAGTCAAGGGCTTCTCAGCCTCCACCTGGCTAAGACGATGTAAACAGACATACAGAGAAGTGCCCTAGGAGGAGATGAGGGGACACGAGTCTAGACAGGCTGGGGAAGGGACATGCTCAGAGTAGACTACTTAACATGCTTTGGAAGCTAACTAAATCCAGAAAGGCTGCTCAGCCAGAACCATGATGGTTTGGTTGAGACCAAGATCTCACAGTGTACTAGATGCAGAGAGTGAGTAGCTGTGTGGTAGTCACATAGGAGAGAGCCAGGCTGGACTGAGCCCCGGCCAGGTCTCTTACAGTGTGACCAGGTCCTCGGGCTGCCTGCAGCAGATTGTTCCACACGGAAAAGCAGCAGCGGAGCTGCATTGGCCGTGGGAATGGTTCCATGAGGAGGCCTCCACATCATCTTGCCTTTTTGATTCCATTGTTAGAATGTATAGTATGGGGGGTGGAAGTATAATTTATGTAGAATTGAGCCCTGGACCGTTCATAGAAACTTCCAAAAAGGAACTTACACAGACTGCATAGCAAATGGAGTAAAGGAGTGGGGGAGGGCGTCTGTTTTCTCTCTGGTGTTTGTCAGTGCATCTGTCCAGGAGGGTATACGATAGCCAGGTGGACGGGACTAACCGTCTTCCTTTCTTTCTGTTCTGTGTGCCTGTTTTTTTTTTGTTTTGTTTTCTTAAAGTTACAGTCCCTGTTTCAGGCATGATCACCATCCCAGCAGCCAGTTTGGCAGGAGCACAGATCGTTCAGACAGGAGCCAATACCAACACAACCAGCAGTGGACAAGGGACTGTCACTGTGACGCTGCCGGTGGCGGGCAATGTGGTCAACTCAGGAGGAATGGTCATGGTAAGGAAGGCGGTTCCCCATTTGTGTTCTGGCACTGGAGCTTTCCACAGACTCCCTGTCTCAGCTGCAAGTTGTGAAATTGCTTATGGTGTTAACTTCTTGGAGTTGAACTCCATCTCAGGCACTAACAGTGGTCGACACTCACAAGATGCATAATTCATTCTGATGCCTCCCAGTGTCTCAGACTATTCTAGACACTGGAGATACAGCGGAAGAGAGGTGTGAGTGTGCAGGTTTCATGCTACTAATAAGGCCGCTCTCTGTTCCTGCAGATGGTGCCTGGAGCTGGCTCCGTGCCTGCTATCCAAAGAATCCCTTTACCTGGAGCGGAGATGCTGGAAGAAGAGCCCCTGTATGTGAATGCCAAACAGTATCACCGCATCCTTAAGAGGAGACAAGCGCGGGCTAAGCTAGAGGCCGAAGGGAAAATTCCCAAGGAAAGAAGGGTGCGTATGCCATGCCGAGTGCCCGGAAGAAAGCCGGGAAGTAGCGCATTTGTTCTGCCTCTAAAAGTGTCTTGAATATGGTGTTTCCCTGTCCCTTCCAAACTATGGTATGCAGGCAGGTTTGCTGTAAGAACACACAGTGGCTTATAAGCAAGAGGCTTTCCCCCTTTCTTCCGAAAGAAGTCCAGAGGTGACTTGTCCTCAGACTTTGTCTTGTCTACAGCTGCAGTGCTTGTCTGTCACTTGTAGTCTGTAATGGCTGTGGAGCTGTAGCCAAGGGGCGAAGGGAATACGAAAGAGGTGCTCTCTCGTCAAAGGAGGCCGTCCACCCATCACGTTAGCCAGCATGCTGTGACCCAGTCTAGCATACCTGCAGAGAGCGTAGAGATGGTGTCTCCTCCTGACCTGCCACCGCTCAGGCACGCCTCCCTCTGTCAGGTGCTGAAGCAGAGGAAGGGTCAGTGCTGGGAGGGGGATAACGGTCATCACGTTTCCCTCCGTTCATTGCGCATTGGCCTTCTCACGGTGGTTCTGTGGCCAGCGGCTGCCTGACTCTTCTCCAGAGCTTCTGCGTCGTTCAGGCTTCATTGTTCCTGGAGTGCCACTGTCTGGAACTTTGAACGGTTGACTGCACTGGGTGACTACTAGCTCTCGCCAACAGTTACGTGTTCTTGTTTCCAGAAATACCTCCACGAGTCTCGGCATCGACACGCCATGGCACGGAAGCGTGGTGAAGGGGGGCGGTTCTTCTCTCCAAAAGAAAAGGATAGTCCTCACATGCAGGTAAGCGGGTGAAATCCTTCTTTGTCTGCTTCCTGCCTTCTCTTGAGCAGCAGCGGGCTGTCCTCCATTCAAGGAGACGTGTCCTCCACAGAGTGCAGGGTCGTTGCTTAGCTTCCTTCTTTTTAAAAGCACTAAAAGTTTCCACCCCGTGGCCTTTCCCTTTTTTTTCTAAATGTTTACTATTGCCTTCTTCTCAATTCTTGTTTTTCAAGGAAAGGTTTTTTTTCTTTTTGCATGCTCTATTAGCAGTAGGTGACATTTACTAGTACGTGGCAGGTCTTGTGTTAAGCACTCCAGTAAACTTTTAGTTGTTGTTGTTTTACTGACTGTGGCGACCTCAGGGCCGTGGGATAGGAGTGACTTCTTGTCACCATTTTTACAGTCGAATATGAGTTTTTGAGAAGTAAGTACCTTGCACAAGGTCAGTCCGTAGATGGCTGTGGCCTGCAGGCTTGTCCGCCTCTTCTGGCCTCTGTGCTCTTTCCCACCTGCCTTCACCCAGTTCTCTCTCTCCTACCTGGTCCTGCATCTTTCCAGTCTCCAGTCTCAGATGCTCTTTTCTCCATCGTTTTGCATGGGTATCTTTTTCTCACTGCATAGCCTGGGCTAGCCTCAAATGTGCAGTATTCCTGCCCTAGTTTTCTAAGCGCTGGGATTACAGGTGTGTGCCACCAACAGGCAGTTTCTGTCTCCCTTCCTTTTAGGCCTGGCTTAGCTCTGAAAGGCCTGTAGCCTGCTCTCATCTCTAGATAGAGCTCTTTTACTCTTGTATTTTCCTACAAGTTCTCCCTTCACTTGAAAGGATGAAAATCATCAAGAAATTCTCTCTGTTTGGGCCACACTGCTTCCTTTACTGGAGTGTTACATCAAAATAGGTTTTGTTCTCTTGCGTTTGTTGGGCTTAGCTTAGGATCCAGTTCTGAACAAATGCTCAGCAAATACTGGATGAGTTAATGAATTCCTTAGAGTCTACTCGAGGCAGCCTGGGTTTCCTTGGCATGTCCATGGGTGGGCACTGACAGGTCCTTCAGTCATGAAGGTGGTCTTCAGCATGACAGCTGCCCCCTCATTGATGGTAGAGTTGGATTTAAACCACGTGTGCAGAACTAGAGATCATTTTGGAGCTTCAGTTTACTTGAAGGTTATATGGGTTCCCTGGTGGTGAGTTGTAAGAGGCAGAAACTCCTGTGTAAAGGACTGTGGTTCTGTCTTTGTAGGATCCAAACCAAGCTGATGAAGAAGCCATGGCACAGATTATCCGAGTCTCCTAACCACAGGCGGGCGGCAGAGCTGATGAGTCATGTTCCTCTCCACTGTTTCCACTGTCTGGAAATGGAGCGACTCTTCCAATGGGACACTGATGATTGCACTCTGCCCTTGCTCAGGACAGGAACTGCTTAGCTCAGTATTATAGCTGCAGTGGTGGCTGATGAACTGGAGTTGCCAGCCTTTGTCTCACCCTTTCATTCAGGACCTGTTTCAGACTGGTGGTGACACTGACCTTTTGTGAATTTGGATGATACAAGGAGGTATTGACCAGCCCAGCGTTACATACACAGCACTTCTGTTGAGTGGTTTGAGGCCAGCCAGTGAGCCATCGAGTAGGGGGAGCAGCCTTCTCACCTTGGTCTGCAGTCAAGGCAGCCACAGCCCATGCCTTCCTGTGGAGCATCACCAGCATCCATCCCCTGGCGGGATGGCAGGATGGCTGACGCACTGCACTCAGGTGGCTCGCAAGAAAGAGGAGCTTCATGTTCAGACATGGAGCAGCAGACTGAGCTGCAGTCTCGGGCTGTGTGATAAGAACCTGTCTGCCCACATGCTAGGTTGGTTTTACTTCAGCCAAGAAAGTCCAGAGAGGATGTTTTGGACTCAGGATAAAAGGATAGACGACCTTGAGGGTCTATCTAAAGGGTACATCACTGACTTAGCTCTGACTGGTCTGCTCATCCCTGTTAACAGGCCTTCCGGGCCGTCATTCGTACTGGGGCCACTTTAAAGACAGTTTAGAGAGTAAATGGACCTGGCAGCAGATTTTCCCAGTAGAGAACAAAACTTCACAACATCTGTGCTGAAGTATCGACGTGTACAGTGGTTCTTCAACAGGGGCAAACCTAGGATTTTTAATCATGGGCTTTATGACAGCAAGTAGGGAAGGGAAGGATCTTTGCATTTCACTCTAGAGAGCAAGTGTCCTGCCTGCCCGGGTGCTGCCAGAGAGCGTGATTCTCCAGTGGCTGGAGACCAGGCCTGGGTCTGACGCTGAGGAGACCACGTCACTCACATTCACACTGACAACCTTCTGCCATGCACTAAGGGAAGTTGGAGGTGTGCCCTTCCGTTGTCTGAAGAAGCACTGTTGAGGTGGCCGTCCTGGACGCATACTGGAACACTGCTGGAGCTCAGAGTGGAGGAGAGACTCGGCTTCTTCACCCCGCCTCTTTGTGCTGGCCCAGAGGCTGAATGTTCTTCCCATGGCAGCTGATTTCCTTGGTGCCAGTTCCCACTTGTTTCCTCCTTTCTCTGTAGGCCTCGCAGCAAGGTTTGCATACGCATCTGTGCTGTAGGGATCCACTTCAGACTGGGAAGATTCCTGCGGGGTCAGGAATTGGGCCATAGCTCCCAGGATGAGTTGGGCCTCAGAAATCTGTTTTCTGGACAAGCACTCTACCACTGAGCCACCCCCAGCCAGCCGGGACTCTGCTGTGGATGCTGAGGCTGGAGGAGAAGAGCTGGCCGCTGCTCTGCAGTCAGGGTCAAGTGCAGTCATCCCAAAGACTTGGAGGCTGGTTAAAACACCAGTCAAGTCCAAAGGCCGGCTCTTTGACTTCCTTCTGTCATCTTAAGGATGGGAAAGATTTTACTCTTAGAACGGAACATCACAGGGAGACTGGTTTAATCGGAGAAGCATGAAGTAAGCCATCGCTTCCGGCTCCCAGGAATCTTGCCATTTCTCCTGGCTTCCAGATGTCAGAGGGGGCTAATCCTTTTTTAGTAAACTCACTAGAAACTTCTGGCTCTTCACATGAGCTTTCAGATATTACTGAAAACCATGAGGAATTTCTACCTTTGTGGTGGTGAGGATTCTAAGGGAAGGGTTCAGGGATTCCTCAGACCTAACGTCTAGTGCTTAAGCCAGCAATTGTAGAATGTTATTTATTTGTCTCCATAAGTTTGTATATAATCTTAACCTCGTATTGTTGCTCAGTTTCATTTTGAGGAAGGCAAGTTTGAGTTTGATTTCCTTTGAAACAGATGCTTGGGTTTCCATTTGCCCCTGCATTGCTGTTAGCTCATGACCCTTTCCTTGTGGTATTGTAGCACAACGTCCCAGCCTGTGGGGCGGCTGAGTTCTGGGTTTTTGTTTGTTTAACTTAGTTCTTTTTACTTGTTCTTGGAATCGTAGTGATGGCTTCAAAGACGCAGTGAGTGGAGGAGCGGGCTGCTAGTCTGTTGCATCTCTGTACTTCCTGAGCGCTTCTGTTGCAGGATAGCTAAATGTATATATTTTAATTGCACTGGTAATAAACGGGGCACGCCAGTGTCTAGACGCTGCACCGACGGCCTCTCCTGGCTGCAGGGTGCCTGATAATAATGTCTTGATTTTCCTTTGGGTCTCAACTATGTAGGGCTCCCCACCAGCAAGGGGGGTACAGGTGATCATTGGTGTCATTGCAATTTTTTTAAATAAATTTATAAAAATAGTAAAAAGTGGTTTGACTTGGTTTGGTTTGGTTTTCAGTTTTGCTTTTTGAGATCTGAACTGGCTATGTAGCCCAGGCTGGCCTCCAACTCAATATCTTCCTGCCAGGTGTGCACCCCCACTCCCAGCAAGGATGACATCTGCGTGTCCAGTGCCTGGAAACATTCATAATGTTTTATCGCCAAAAACAGCCCTCAATTTTCCATGTGGTAGACCTAAATGGAATGAAGATACACTCCTTAAGTTTTGAGCAAACTAAAATCCACAGCTTGGGGCTGGGAAGCTATCTCAGTCTCAGCCTGGGAGCCTCATTTCAGCTCTAGAAAGCACATGCAAAAGGCATGGTGCAGCCCTGGCTTAATCTCAACAGTAAGGATATGAAGGCAGGACAATCCCTGGAGCCTGCTGAGCGGCCAGCCAGGCCTGCTTGGCAAGTTCTAAGCCATTAAGAGACCGTGTCTTAAAAAAGAAGTGGACAGACCTGAGGAATGATGTTCCCAGGTTGTCCTGGCTTCTGTAGACACGGATGTGCTTGCAAAACCCACAGCCCTCTGGTACTATTGCTGCTTTATGATTCTCCAGAAATCTGAACAACCAAGACTAGCTTCTCCGTTTATCTCAGGAGCCAGGGAAAAGCAGACCCTGGGAGCTCAAGGTGAGTGCAGCAGGCCTGCCCTGCCAGAAACCCAGCTCCCAAGGAAAAGTCATGGCAATGTTAAACAACTCAGTCCAATGCTTAGGGTGTGCTTCTAGTCACCTGGGGACAATAGGACCTGTCTCAAGTTCAAAGGTGAACCAAGGGCCTGGTCTAGTGGTAAGGGAGGAAAATACTGATTCCCTTCTGGATTCTAGTTGGTCTCCTTATGTTTCGAAGAAAGCCAGCATGGCAGCTGTGCCCTCCTGTGTGGCTTCTGGAAAGCCAGTGCAGATTAGAGTCTGGGAAACCTACTTACTCACCCCCTGCTCCCCTCCCAGAGAGGGAGATTGGCTTCTATCTGGAGGATCCCTGTGGTGCTTCTGTCTGGGACAGTTGTCACCATGGGGAGACAGCACCACATTGCACCTGCAGATGCCTGAAGAGTGCTACTCAGAGCCCTCCAGGCAAAGCTGGGGCACCAGGCTTTGAGGAAGAAAGGCATTTCAGAATGAGTCAAATACAAAGCAGGACATATGGAGGGAGCACAATCTGTAGGAAAGGGGGTTGTCATAGGAGAGCCCTGGAAGGCCTTTGTATACGCTTGTGGCTCCCTAAGGGACATCTCTAAAGGTTGCTAAGAGAACCCCTTCCTATCACCAGAGTGTAATTTGTAATGAGGCTGAACGTGTAAAGTCGTTTTCCCATGAAGCAAAGCTCTTGGGAGACATGGCTCAGCAGCTGAGAGGTCTTGCTACTCTTGCAGAGGACCCAAATCACAGCATCCAAGTTGGTGACCTCATAACCACCTGTAACTCCAGCTCCAGGAAATCTTACATCCTTTTCTGGCCCCTGCGGTCATGTCCTCGTGTTCACAGATCCACATACAGAAACACACACACTCTTAAAATTTTAAAATTAAAACATAAATGACTGCTCTTTTGGGTCTTGGCTCCAAGATGAGTAAGAGAAAAAAAAAAAATCGTTGTGCCAAAAAAGGCCTGGGCCATGTGCAGCTGGTTCACTGTGTGGATGCCCAGTGAGTGCCCAGGGAAGAGGCCGCTAAGTTTGTCATTTGGAACGTTGTAGAAGCCTCTGCCACCAGGGACGATGCTTATATTCTTCCAAGCTCTCGAGCTACATTTTGTGAGCAGTGCCGTTCTTGGCAAGGTAGTCAGGCATGGATGTGAACCCGGAAGGACGGGCCACGCCCACACAACCGGTGCTGCCCTGGGACCTCCAGCAAAGCCATGTAAAGAGGTGGCTTCATGAGGACAGAAGAAAGATCATGGGGGAAAGAAAGTAGAAGTTATACTTGAAATAAATGAATAGAAAGCAAGAGACATACACAGCTAAAAGTCCAGCAAGGTGTGTCACCCGGCCCAGAACGGTCCTAACCCCAGTGTCTCCAGCAAGGCCATTTGACAAGTTCCTCCTGTGGGCACTCCCTTCTTAAGAAAATTATTGTTCTTACATTTCAAGGAGAGGGTTGGCTTGGGTGTGGGAAGCCCGCCCACCCACTCCCTACACAGTTTAAGGATTGGTCCAGAATCGGGCTTAGACTTTCAGGAGTCCACTTTAGACCGTGATGGCGCTTCAGCACCCACCTCCATGTCTTCTCCAGCAGTAACCACCCGTTTAGGATCAAGAGATGCAGGGCTTGGTGAGAACTCCGTGCTCCCCACCAGCTGAGCGTCTGCGTCTTGGCCCACATGTGGCAGCGTCTCAGAGCCTTCCTCCGCTGCCCACAGACACATGTCTGGGTGGTGAGAGAGAAGAGTGCTTTCTCTATAGCTCTGTCTCCTCCCTCGTTCCTGCTTACAGAGCCGCTGTGATATAGCTGATAGACATGCTGTGTTCCAGCTCAGCTCAGCTCCCTCTGGCACCAAGGTGATCCCAGCTGAGGGGCTAAGAGTCAGATAGCCCCCTAGGCATGCTGGGAAAAATGCTCAGGTAGATCAGTGTACTTTCCACTTAAACATTTAAGATGCCAACTTGCAGGTTCTTCAAAGCAATGACTTGGTGGGCTCTCTCCCACTGTGTGTGTGTGTGTGTGTGTGTGTGTGTGTGTGTGTGTGTGTGTGTGTGTGTGTGTGTGAGAGAGAGAGAGAGAGAGAGAGAGAGGGAGGGAGGGAGGGAGGGAGGGAGGGAGGGAGAATCTCCCACTGATGGGCTCCTGTGGCAGGAACCAATCAGCTTCCTTGTCTTTGCCACGGATTACTCAATCCCTGGGGATACTCCCACTATAGCCAATTCAGAGGGAGAGTGGGAACCCATCCCACATCTAAACATAAGAAATCCCCAACCCTCAGAAAGATTCAGACACTGTTTCCAGTTCCCCCTGTTTCTACTGCCCTCTGCCTCTGAATCCTGTATGGGTGTGTGTGTATATGTGTCTCACTTTGAATAAAATCTATCAGAGGTGCCAAGACCTTGCTTTTCCTAAATCAGTGGAGAAAATCTGATCATATCATAACCTTGCAGGTCATAGCCAAAGAGCCAGCATATTACGTCTAGAACCTTCTCCATGTTCCTACCCTCATGTGCAGCATTCTTCTTATTCTCCTGTCTCTAGGTCTGTTTCAACGTGGACAGATCACCTTGGCCAAACAATTGGCTGTTGCGGGATATTTGTACACTGTGAGGATGCTGTGATTGGTGTAATAAAAAGCTGAACAGCCAATAGCTAGGCAGGAGGGATAGGCGGGACTTCTAGAGAGAGAAGGCTGGAAAGAAGGTGGAGTCACCAGCCAGATGTTGAGGAAGCAGGACTGGCAGTACAGAGGAAAGGTAACTGAGCCACATAAAAGAACATAGATTAAAAGATATGGGTTAATTTAAGTTATAAGAACTAGTTAGGAACAAATCTAAGCTAAGACTGAACTTTCATAATTAATAAGTCTCCATGTCATTTTTTTTGTGAGGTAGCTGCCCTAAGAAAAATCCTTGGCTAGACAAATCCTTCAACTTCTGAAGAAGAATTTCCTCTGGACCTGGTCTAGTGTCTTTTTTCAAACATTTTTGGAAAAGTTCAGTAATCCTGTTTCCTGAGGCAACCTTCTAACAACCCCCATGAGAAATGAGAAGCCCAGCCAAATTGTCCTGGTTCTCCTTAGGGCACTAGAGAGCCACAGTGAAACTAGGTCCTAGCCAGGAGCTCCGCCCACATTCATCTAAGAATCCTCTCTCCCTTGCTGTCAAGTAACCTAAAATCACTTACGAGAGCAGCAGCCAGGCCTCTGTCTTCCACCTTGCTCTACCAACCACCAACCAATGTGGCAAGTAGAAATTGAAAGAATTAGCCTCTGTGAGTGTGTGCACGTGCTTATGGGTGCTTGTGCGCATGTGTGTGCATGTTTGTGGAGGCTATCAGTCAATGCAGGTGTCTTCCTCTATCACTGTCCACTTCATTTCTTGAGACAGGCTATCTCACTGACCCTGGAGCTTATTGATTAGTCTAGACTGGCTGGCCACTGAGCTCCAGGCATCCGCCTGCTTCCCTCTGCCGGGGTTACAGGTGTATGCCTCCAGGCCTGGATTTTTACATGGATGCTGGGGATCCAAACTCAGGTCCCCATGATGTCACAGCAGGCACTTGACCCACTAAGCCATCACCCTAGTCTGAACTTTAAAAAAAAAAAAAATTGTTTCCTAATTGACAGGGATGGCTTAAAATGTTATATGGGGTTCCAAGCAGGAAGCTTGGGAGACATTTCTGGGTTTGAAAGACTATAGTGGCCCCGTGAGAGTAGAGTTTGATCTCTCATGGAGGAATGCCAACATCTCATTGGATGTTGGCAGAGTAGGGTGTGACCTCCCTGTGCTGCTCAGCAAGAGAAGCTGGGTACATTGACTCTGAGCACTGTTGCCTGGAGGCCTCAGCAACAGCCACAGATTTATCTGCATGGTTGCTCGGATGCAGAAGTCAGATGAGGGTGAGCAATCCCTGGGCTTTTCTCCGAACCATCAAATGCTAGGGAGAATGATGCCACACTCCTGTTTTGGCTTGGACTTCCAGTTAACTAGACTTAACTAGACACCATTTCTCGTTTGTCTAAGTAGGGTTTCTTGTTCACAGCTCACAAATGGGTTTCCAAGTGTGTGTGTGTGGGGGGGGGGTTTCAAAAGAGCATTTGGGGAAGGCCTTGGCTATACGTGGTGGAGAGCCTGTTAGAAGGAAGGGAATAATGGAAGATGTTCAGTATGACTATATGTATTGTAAATAACCAGGTCAAAAAAGCATAGTTGTCTGCACAGTAAAGGAAAATAATCACCAGAATGAGGAGAAAAATCTTGGTCCAGTGTACATTGGACAAGATTCATATCCAGGAGATAGGAAATAAGGGAGATGGTTCAGCAGGTAAGAGCCTTTGCTGT